CGACAAGTAAGTTGCTGCGGCATTTGGACACAGAGGCGGACAAGCGTATATTGAAGACTGCCACCCTGTATCCTTCGCTGGTCATCATCCTGCGTTGTATGGCGGGATTCGAAGAAGAGGACGATGAGCAGCTGCGGGAAAGCAGCGTCTTTAGCAACTTCATTGTGAGTAAGAACGGTCAACGAGAGATGATGGTCATCCTACGTAAGCTCAAATTTTCACATAATTTTGTAGTATTTCAAACGTCATGAATGTATTACACGAAGCTTCTGCTCTCTCAATCTTGATTTTCTCCTTCAGCTGTGGTCATTCAAGCTGAAGTTGATTGCTCCGAATCAGATTCATGGAACAATTTTGAACCTGGATTCACAGTCTAGCCAGCTCGTACCAATATCTGAAACAGCGTACTGCTTGGTCGAAAACAGAGTGCTGCTTGGTTGAAACCAGATTTCTGCTTGCCTGAAAACATATATGTCTTGTCTACAAAATAAATTCGTCCACAGGACATAAGCATCAGTCTCCTTCGCCATCACATAAGCCATTCCAATCAGCCGCTAACTAGCATATATTGTCAATAAGAGCAACTACCAAAAGTACATGAGCAAGCAATGTTGCAATACGATGTTTTGTATTTTACTCTAACGTGGCTATCCCGTGCAGCTTCTGTACGTTTTTTTTACAAACGAAGAATGTCAAGGCGTGATCCAGGTGTCTTCGAGAGTGCAAATAGAACACTGAAACACCTGTTGATGTTTTTTGTCCGTTTTATGGGAATCTGATGAGGAGATTAAAGTCAGCCAATCGTACCTCGCTTCAAACGTTTGGCTTTAATTGCTTCGTTGAACTGGTGTTGCGTGTTTCCCGAATCACTCGACAAACAATGGCTAATCTTAGCATGCGACGCGTCAGAAACCGGTACTGATGCAATATTGATGTAGGAAGTGTTCATACGACGAACCGTGCGACGCCGGTGCAGTGGTTTCGATGCGCAGTTCCACAAAGGTATGAAGGCCATAAGAAATTAATTTGCTGTTATCTGCTAGCGGTGTCAGCGGTGCTCATGGATTTTTCCATGTTATGAGGACCGCGGCACCAGCAACATTCTTGGCGTCGAATGCAGGCCTCCAGCTGCAAAGGATTATAACGGGCCGGGTCTAACTCTGGTAGCTTAGGCAAAACTGGAGATCGCATCATGACACCAGAAGCTTTGAGGTGTGGACTGCTTCTGGTTTTGGTGGATTTCCGTAACTCGGTGAAAATATCCCTACTTCTCAGATGTTTCGCAGATACGTCACCGCACGAGCCACCGCTGTCACAAGTAACATGGGATCATGTGGTTGGTGTGCCCGGCTGTGTCGTGTATACGTGGCTGGTGTACCCGGCTGTACCGTGTCCACGTGACTGGTGTACCCGGCTGTACCGTGTCGACGTGACTGGTGTACCCGGCTGTACCGTGTCCACGTGACTGGTGTGTCCGGCTGTAAAGTGTCCACGTGACTGGTGTACTCGTCTGTGGCGTGTCCACGTGGCTAACGTACCCAGCTGTACCGTATCCACCTGACTGGTGTGCCCCGCTGTACCGCGTCCACGTGCCTAACGTACCCGGCTGTACCGTATCCACCTGACTGGTATGCCCGGCTGTACCGTGTCCACGTGGCTAATGTACTCGGCTGTACCGTGTCCACCTGGCTGGTGTGCCCGGCTGTACCGTGTCCACGTGACTGGTGAGCCCGGCTGTACCGTGTCCACGTGGCTGGAGTACCCGGCTTTGCCACTTCTGCACCTCCCGCCACATGTTTACGTAGTTCGTGCTGTCTGTCGAATCAATGCAGTAGCATGCATCGCACGGTGTCGTAAGGCATTTGTACAGCTGTGGGACGTCGCATTCCACATGTATAATAAGGTGCATCGACCCGCGTGGGTGTTACTAGGAGCGCAGGGAACTAGTCTAGGCGGCTGGTGTAGATGGGAGCGTAGAAACGCGCCTAGACGCGAGGAGGAGAGCTCGTTCCTGAAGTTCTCAAAATGTTATATATCAAATGTCAAAGTCATTGGTGCGTTGTGGCAGCGTTGACCAGGCGATAGCCGATCCTGACGTGTTTTTTTTTCCTGGCAGCAGCGGCGGGCGGCGGGCGGCGGGCGGCGGGCGCCGGGCGCAGGGCGGCGGACGGTGGACGGTGGACGGGGTACCTCTCTGACCGGTCGGCCCGCCCCCGGTCCGGTAGTCGCCCGGTCGCTGACCCCCGCCAGAGCGGGCTGGCTAGGTGAGGAGCTGCGGCGGCTCGACGGAGTCGGCAGACGCGGTCGACACGCCGACCACGCCAGGTGAGCACGCCTGCACGACACCGCCGGTGCCGCTGTCCGTTCGTCTGGAGAGCTGCTCTCGGAGCTCAGTAAGACTCTGCGTCGGGTTGTGATGGCGCTGAACAAGGGTTCAGACCGTGAGGGACACAATATCTGATACCCTCTTTGCTTCATCGGCATAGCGAAAGGGGCCGTTCCCTCATGAGAAGGGTCTTAGCAGCGTGTTCATTGGCTCGCCGGTGACGTGTGAGGCGAGGTACGTGATGCATGCTATTATCACGGGGATAGACGCTCTGCAGTCGATGCAGTATAGGGTGCTTCGTTTCCGCACTGCGTTTTCACCTCCCAGCGCGAGCAGCCCGGCTGTTCCAATATCCTCGAAACTTAGCATTTAGGAATATGCCAGAAAGCAATCTGATGGCCTCGGCCCTAATGGTCAAAATGTGTTCTAGTAATCTTCACTAATTGTGATGTTTTAGCAGTGTGTGACCAGAGTCATTGCGACTCTGTGCTTTCAGGTTCCATGACCTTCTGTTGGATATTTGACCCAAAGTGGCCGTGTGGTTCATAGTAAAAGCTTGCCTTTTCGACTCTGATGAATATGTAATTTAGTGTGAGCAGCGGTCGTAACCTAGGGGGCTTTAAGGATCCTGCCCCTTCCCGAGGTGGTAGGGCCCCTCTGGAGTCGAGGGCACAGCACATTTTAACAGTTCCAGACACCCGTGGGACTTCTCAAGCACAGACGGCAGGCCCGAGGGGCATTAAACTGGGATCCTGAGCCTAAAAATCAAGGCGCTTAGAGCGACAGAGAGGGGTGGTCCCTTGGCTGAAAGGGTCTCGATTGAACCGATTGACCTGATTGGCTCAATTGGGACCCAATTATCACCCAATATGGCTTCCCCCAGTGTGAAATATTGGCCTCGCTTCTGTGCGTTAGCTGTTGACAAATGGTCTGAGCTCAAATAAGCTGCATAATAACTTGTGTAAAAGCTATTGAATTGTCCCCGGTTATGCGAGTAATAGGCATAATGGTTCGTCACTTCTTGAGATCATGAGCTAGTACCTGACTACACAGAGCCAAGCGCCACAACATGACGCGAAGTGGCGCATTGCAGAATTTATATTAAGACAGTAGGCATGAATTTGACCAGAGTTTATCCAGCCCTGTTTGCATGCAAAATACACTTGCCCTAGTTATGATATGCTGGCACTAGGAATGATTTAGTGGCCTGTAATATGCTATCTTTACCTATGACTGTTTTTGCTCCGCTTTACTTCTGTTATTTTATCTAGCATGTAAAAAGATCATCTTTTGTGCTTAGTTGTTATTTTTATTTTCTCGTAGTGTTTCTTAGCTGGGAGTGCGGCGACTTGTTCCCTTTCTGTTTTTGTGTTGTTGCCGTATGGCTCTGTTGTCACTGGGCTGCAGGTGGGGCACTCCTGGCTACATGATCTCGGGTGATGGTAAGAAAAAGAAAAAAGGTGATGGTTGCATTTGCGGAAACTTGTGTCAGTAACATACCCATTCACGCATTTGTTTCTGGGCACAGCGCTAATGATCCGATATGGATCAGCGTCCCTCATTGATTTATGTCTCCCCTGGACCACATTCAGCACATTTTGAGGCGCACGAAATGCATGGAGCAGGCGCACACGGTCAAACAGAGCCGAAGGCTAGCACACCGCTTTTTGCCGTTCATCGGAAAACATCGGATTTTTCAACACGCGTATTGCGTAGTTCATATTGTAGACAGAGGTCGTCAATGGATCATTTACACAGCATACATGCAGCAAGCTGAGATCTACGGTAGCAATAATAGCGGTAGGAATTGGTGACTGTAGCAATTAATTAGGGTAGGCAAATGTCTGAAGGAGCTAATACCCGCGCACCCGCCTGCTGCACGCTGCACCGTTGACAGGCGACAGGCGTCTGCAGCGTCTCAGTCCCGTCACGTGACTTCCGGAGGCGCTCCGACAGCGCGTTGACCCCGCCCTTCCTCGGACCGCGAACCTTCACCTTGGTTGGAGCCCAAACCTTGACCGTAACGGTGCTCGGACCGGCGCAGACCGGCCGAGCTGCTTAAAAAGCGAGCGAGCGTTGCGACGCGGCCGGCCCGGCCAGCGGCGGTCTCGAGCGGACCGGTTGTCTCCTGCACCGCCGGCGGCGGCAGGACGTCGACCTGCTCTCCGCGGGAGCTGCCGCGGCCCGCCGGTAATGGCCCGGACGAGCCAGAGGTCCCGGGGGAGGCTCGCCGCTGCGGCGGCTACCAGCGGGGCCGGTCACCCAAGCAGCATGGACTTAACAAGGGCGTGGAAGGGGCGAATGAGAGAGAGAGCGGTTGTCTTGCATGGAGGCTGCGGCGCATGTCGAGTGGTACCAAGCTGTGCCCCACTCCCGTGCTGTGCTGGTCAGCCGGCATTGGTACATCACTACTGACTGTGAACATGCGTGCCGAGCTTGTTAGCTTGGAACGCATGGTGGATGCCAATAATTGTAGGACGCGCTGTACTTGAATACAGCAACATATAACTTGAGGCTCGCGCTGCATTTGTGTCGCGTTATTCGCACGCCGGCTGATTGCCAGCCTGTGTCAGACCGACTTTGATCCGTCCTGTCTGTTCGCCAGCGGCGTTCGTCAGCATGTGGAGCCTCTTCGCCGCCGCGTGCCTGCTGACCGTGGCCGGGGCCGGGGGTCCGGGCCAGCGCTGACCCGGCCGAGCCCAGGGAGAGCGGGAGACTGGGCGGCGCCTATGGTGAGTCACCGACGGCTGGCGGAGCCCACCACCGACGGCTGGCGGAGCCCACCACCGACGGCTGGCGGAGCCCCCCACCGACGGCTGGCGGGCCCCCCACCGACGGCTGGCGGGGCCCCCACCGACGACTGGCGGGGCCCTCCACCGACGGCTGGCGGGCCCCCCACCGACGGCTGGCGGGGCCCCCACCGACGACTGGCGGGGCCCTCCACCGACGGCTGGCGAGGCCCTCCACTGACGGCTGGCGATGCTGACAGAACCCGCTCCTCACTCAGGAGGGTGCACACGTAGGGAGAAGCAAACCAACTCGGCTTGGCAAAGAACTGTCTACAGGTCTTGAACAGGAAGACACGCATGCCTGATGCGGCGCCCAGATGCACCTATAGTAGGGAAATCTGCAGATAGGTCAACTGAGCGTGCATTTCAGATCCATGACCAAAATGTGTTATGCCCTAGGGCCACCGTTGCACAGCCCGCGTCTCGGAACCCTCTCCGATCTGACTGTCCTGATCACAACCGTTACTTCTTTGCTTTTCTTTTGTAAGTTGTGGTCGGAAGAGTCGAGGCACCGGAACAGGTAGCAGAAATGTCAAGGCCAAGTCATCAAAAAAGGCATCCATCAACTACCTGACAACGTTCAAACGCCACAGCGCGACGAGCAGATCCGGATACAGTCCAGTGACCACAAAAACTGATCCTGCTCCTCCTACTGCGCCCCCCCCCTCGCCCACACCCGCACACCTTCCACCTTACAGCTCTATTTGAGCCTACTCGCCTGACCGCCAGGCCCGCAGCCAGAATTTTCCTCAGGAAAGGGATGGAGTAAATATCAAACCTTCGGCACACGGCAAGCCTTCGCAGAGGCGCGCCCAGGAGGACAGCATCGAACCTGCCTGTGACAGTAACAACATGTGCGGCCATGACTTCTCGCGACGCCACTTTAGCCAGTGCCTCTGCATCTGAATCTGCATCTGTCCGTCATCTCTGCCCATCACTCACCATCTGCACGCGCCTCTGCCGGCGCGCAGGACACCCTCCCACCCACGGCACAGTCTCGCAAATGCGCCCAAGATTACCAACCAGCCCGTCGGGTTGGTGTGGCGTTACCACGCCACGTGTTTTGCACCACTGTAAACGAAGCGCTGGTTAATCGGCGGCTCGTCGAGTTTTTTTGTTAGGCTGTCAGGATGCTCCGTTCAACGGTCACGACCGCGGCCATCGTGTCTATCCAACATTGCCAGGAATGTTGGAAGCACGTCTGGCATGAACGCTTCTTTAGCATGCTTATTTTTCAGATTAAAATCACCTTGGCGACGAAAAATTGTTGCTGGTGACAGGAGTAGCGCCTGCGCTCACAGTTTCCAATAATATCCGCCAGGGGCGCTGTCGCACCATGTGAGGGACCAGACACACCTGCAGCGGACCTACGGCAGCGATAGATCCGCCCGTATCATCTGCTACTTCAGCAACTGGGCCATCTACCGCAAAGGCCTGGGCAAGTACGGCATCGACGACATCCCGGCCGAGAAGTGCACCCACTTGGTGTACTCCTTCATCGGCGTCAGCAACGTCACCTGGGGAACGCTCGTCCTTGACCCAGAGGTCAGTGGGCGAGGCATGTGCCGGCGCGCGGTCGATCACAGAGCGAGGTGGTCCTCATCTCTTCTGGCGATGCAGGAAAAAGGTTAACTGACGGAAGAAGTAATGCACAGTGAATGTTCAAAATGTTGCGTTCAGATGATGTGGCAGGCTCTAAAGATGCAAACATGCTTGATGTAAAATAAGGCAAGCACAAGTGGTGCTGTAAGGTTGAATGCCTTGTGCATTTGTTTCTTTGTCGAATCTGACTGTCACGTCTCTAGCGAGCCATCAGGTTGGTTCACATGCTAATCACGTGTGTTCCAGCTGGACGTCGACCAGGGAGGCTTCCAAAAGTTTGTAAGCCTTCGGGACAAACATCCCGGCTTGAAGACTTTGGTTGCTGTCGGTGGCTGGGGAGAGGGAGGAAAGAAATATTCTCAGATGGCAAGAGATCCCAGCAAGAGGAAGTCGTTCATCCAGTCCATAGTTCGTAAGTGTCCTCGAAGGAGATACGAAGCAGAGCAAATTTTACTCTCTCTCTGTCATTCGGCAGCTGGCAGGACTGGCGGGCTACTGCAGGTCTGATGAGAAACATGATGTCATGTCATGACGTCACGTCAAAACACCACGTCATGACGTCACATATTTCACTGGCATCGCTGTAATACGCTGTGGATCGGTTGGCCGCGGTCGCCTTGCCCTGCGCCCAGCATGGTGCGGATGACCCTCCACTGCCCGCGTCGGCTGACCCCGGCCGACCGTCACCGCCAGGCTTCATGCGGAAGTACCAGTTCGACGGGTTCGACCTGGACTGGGAGTACCCGGGCGCCACCGACCGCGGCGGCACCTTCAAGGACAAGGACGCCTTCCGTGACTTCGTCGGCGAGCTGAGGGCCACGTTCGACGCGCAGGGCATGGGCTGGGAGATCTCCATGGCCGTGCCGGTGGCGAAGTTCCGGCTGCAGGAGGGGTATCACGTCAGCGACCTGTGCAAGTGAGCAGCAATAGGGGTGCGCGCTGGGGAACGGGGGGGAGGGGGTGCTGTTGGGCGTGCGTGGTGCGCTTTCCTGTCGGCTTTCGGCGTGGAAAGGCTGAAGCGGGAGCCACGAGTGCACCGTTGGCACGTCATGTGTGGGTTTGTTCAGCTTTTCTTTCAGCTGACGTGCTATAGGTTCAACAAGAGAGCCTCTTATTGTGGGGCCACGTTGTCAAAAACGGTTTGATGCTAGATGGGATAATTATTATATTCGACGCGGCAAGTAAGGACTTTGCCAGGAGCCTAACGAACATCACAAACGCTTCTGAGGGGTATGTAGAGACCTGATCATGCTCACTGAGTACCTCTCGTCACATCGTTTTCGACATCGACTGGCGGCGCACGCTCATGACACCCGCCGACACGCTCATGACACCCGCATGACACCCACCCGTCTCAACATCACCCACGACTGTGACCGTGGTGAATTTCAGGATGATCGATGCCGTGCACGTGATGACATATGACCTGCGAGGGAACTGGGCCGGCTTCACCGATGTCCACTCGCCCCTTTACAAGCGGCCCTTCGACCAGTGGGCCTACGCGACACTGAATGTGGTGAGTTGGACATGCTAAGGACCGTTTTATGTAACATCCTCATGGAGGTCGCATACTCATCTCTGGCATGGTAGGTGAACGGTGATTATTGACCCACATCATACAAAATAACATCCAACTAAGATGATGCGCACGCTGTCATCCGCAGGATATGAATAACATTCAAGAAATGTTCGAGCATGGCAAAAACGTTCTGAACTTTGGCTTGCAAAAACAATATTTATCCAGATACATACGCTGCTTGTTCGCATTCCACACATCACTCATATTGATTATCCGCACTTTGAGTTGTCCTCTACGTGCATGTCTCTCGGTGGCCCGTAAGAACTCGTGCTGATGGCCTTACGAACAAAGCACGGTTACTGAATGGCAATGCCTAACCTTTCTGACTGCAAGGCAACACCAGTGCCATCTGCCGCCGACGGAACCTGAGCCTACACACTCAGTAACGGCTATCTGTGCTGAGAGCATGCTCGGGCGGACAAAGCATCTTGAACACAGAGAACTCCAGGCCTTGTTTGTACCGAGGTCTAAAGCCGTGGATGGAGAAGGGTTGCCCTTCAGCGTCTAGCGCTCCGAATCTGCGGGCACCGGCCTGAAGGCACGGGGCTTGGAGGGTTGCTTTTTAACGTCTGGTACCCTGGACCTCCTCAGAAAGACTGCCGGAAGCTGTGTGTCTCTGGAGGCTGCTCGTAACATCCGGCCCCTGTTCCCTCTCAGAACGACGGCCTGAGGCCGCGGGTGTCCGAGGGCTGCCCTTAACACCCAAACTTTGACCCCCTCAGAACGACGGCCTGAGGCCGCGGGTGTCCGAGGGCTGCCCTTAACATCCAACCCTTGACCCCCTCAGAACGACGGCCTGAAGCTGTGGGTCTCGGAGGGCTGCCCTTAACATCCAACCCTTGACTCCCTCAGAACGACGGCCTGAAGCTGTGGGTCTCAGAGGGCTGCCCTTAACATCCAACCCTTGACTCCCTCAGAACGACGGCCTGAAGCTGTGGGTCTCAGAGGGCTGCCCTTAACATCCAACCCTTGACTCCCTCAGAACGACGGCCTGAAGCTGTGGGTCTCGGAGGGCTGCCCTTAACATCCAACCCTTGACTCCCTCAGAACGACGGCCTGAAGCTGTGGGTCTCAGAGGCTGCCCTTAACATCCAACCCTTGACTCCCTCAGAACGACGGCCTGAAGCTGTGGGTCTCAGAGGGCTGCCCTTAACATCCAACCCTTGACTCCCTCAGAACGACGGCCTGAAGCTGTGGGTCTCAGAGGGCTGCCCTTAACATCCAACCCTTGACTCCCTCAGAACGACGGCCTGAAGCTGTGGGTCTCAGAGGGCTGCCCTTAACATCCAACCCTTGACTCCCTCAGAACGACGGCCTGAAGCTGTGGGTCTCAGAGGGCTGCCCTTAACATCCAACCCTTGACTCCCTCAGAACGACGGCCTGAAGCTGTGGGTCTCGGAGGGCTGCCCTTAACATCCAACCCTTGACTCCCTCAGAACGACGGCCTGAAGCTGTGGGTCTCAGAGGGCTGCCCTTAACATCCAACCCTTGACTCCCTCAGAACGACGGCCTGAAGCTGTGGGTCTCAGAGGGCTGCCCTTAACATCCAACCCTTGACTCCCTCAGAACGACGGCCCTGAAGCTGTGGGTCTCGGAGGGCTGCCCTTAACATCCAACCCTTGACTCCCTCAGAACGACGGCCTGAAGCTGTGGGTCTCAGAGGGCTGCCCTTAACATCCAACCCTTGACTCCCTCAGAACGACGGCCTGAAGCTGTGGGTCGCAGAGGGCTGCCCTTAACATCCAACCCTTGACTCCCTCAGAACGACGGCCTGAAGCTGTGGGTCTCGGAGGGCTGCTCGCCGGACAAGCTGATCGTGGGGGTGCCGTTCTACGGGCGCACCTACACGCTGGGCAGCAAGGACAGCACCGGGCTGCGCGCCGGCATCAAGAAGTGGGAGGGCGGCGGCAAGAAGGGCCCCTACACAAAGGCACGCGGCTTCCTCGCCTACTACGAGATCTGCCCTCACGTGGGGGAGGGCGGCAACTGGACCAAGAAGTACGACGACATCGGCAAATGCCCCTACGCCTACCACGGTAGGGATGGGACGTGTGGGAAGACCGGGGCGGGAGTTCGATGGAGAAATGACACGCCGCCGAGGGTGTGCTTCCTTGCTGCGTGTGATACGATGTGCTATGGCTAGTGCTTCATATCATTCACATTGGTAAAATAGTGCTGCCAGTACTGAGGCAATGCTTCACAAACAGCTAATGCAAGGAGGAGGATGATGTATTTGCGCCCGAGCTTAGTAAGCTGCCCATACTGCGAGCACAGTTGGCCTTGGCCCATGAACAGTGACCTAGCTGCACTTGAGCGCTGGAATCGAAACTAGCATGGTTTTCACAATTCCAGAACAGTGTTTTAGTGTCCAAATGTTTCAAGTGGCTGTGGAACAGTGTAAAACATTACAGAAAGCCAGATGAAAAATGAGCGGTGCACTGTGATGCAAGACTAAAATGGCGAACGCTCCAATGCTGCCATGGTATGCAAACCGTGCGGTCACGCAGACGCGGGTTCTGTTCGCTTTTTCTGTTGTCCACATTATCCCGCTGTCAGTTTTGTGCAGATATGGTTACATTAATCGCATACCGCTTTCAGATGACCAGTGGGTGGGTTATGAAGACGAGGATTCCCTTCAGATCAAAATGGACTTCATCAAAGCCAACGGCTACGGTGGTGCCATGGTGTGGGCTGTTGACATGGACGACTTCCATGGACTCTGCGGAGAGAAAAATGCGCTCATGAACGTGCTATATCGCAATATGAAGGATTACAAGGTAAGTGAGAGGCGGTAACTCTCATGCAAGCCAGCAAGCCACACGTTCCACCGTGTGTGGCGAGATCCTTGCAGCAAATCTGTAATCCTTACAGATTACAGGTTTGTCTCATCCTGCAGAGAGCCTGGTTTGCAATATGATGTACTGACCCGCGACGCGATATCTTCCCCGCCTCCTCGCGATTTCCTTGCTTGCGACGGCGATAACGCTTGCTGAGCAGAGGTTGCGGTATTTCCCCGATCCTACGACCCAGGCTGCGCCGACACAATCCATCGGATAGTTTTCCCTATGACCTTGCCGGACAGAACTGCGGAGGGTTGGGCGTGTCATGCGGCACTGCAACACGGCCGCGCAGGTCAGTTTGACCCGGTTCGGTCAGCTGCAAGCAGACCTTCTCCGTCTGTCTGTCCGAATACCATCACGGCTGCTCGCGCGGGCCCAACCCCACTTGGGCAGCCGCCAGGTGACTTTCCTTGCACGGCGGGTGTCAACGTCACCCCCAGCACGGGGTTCGTACTCCTTACCGCCGTGTTGCAAGTCCAGCGCTCCGCACCTGGTGGCGGGGTCGTGGCACTGCGCACATCAGCCAGGCCCCCGCTGCACCACTGTTCTGCTGCCATTTTATAATTGAATGTGGCGGTTAAACTGCTGGGTCCATCCACAGACCCCCTTGTGCATCCAAGCAATACAATGCGTATTAACTGAGCTTTGATTTGTTCAATCGAGGCAGAGCCCACGCGCCACCGATCCCTCGCCACTGAGTTGAGAACCTCCGTCCGCTGTCTTTCGCATGGAGCGGTCTAAGCTGCGCTAGGCCATGTTGGTCAGATGTGGTAACTGTGTCCAGCGTGAGGCGATGCTGGTTAGATGTGGTGACCATGCCTAGCCTGCGGCGCAGTGGACGGAATGTCTGCAGCAGTGCCACAGTGCCATCTTTCCCCAGTGTTTGCTGATAAGCTGTTGCTGCAACCCCTCTCGCATGGATTTCTCCCTTGCCGTCATAGGCGAGACTTCCCATCAGAAAAATCTTAAACCAAGAACAAAGCGATAAATGCAACACATGTTTCCTCTTCGCAGGCCATCCGCTAGCATTGATCACAGGTTCTGTTCGATTTAAACATTTTTTCATCTTTGTGCGCTGTTTTTCAGCACTTACACGATTTATCAGATGTGGCCCCAGTAAAACAACGTATCCGCCATCTTGTGTGACTCTCGTTGTGGAGACTTCGAAAATGTCAGGGTAGCTTAAAGCTTTTTACACCAGCATTTCAAAATGTCGCACCAGGAGTGGCGATTTTTCAGCTGATCTCATACGGAGCGAAAAAAAGAGTGAGCAGCGAAAACAATGCCAGTCGTTACCATGCCAGGTGACGAGTAACTTCCTGAACAGCTGACGGAATTTACAACAATATTGCTGGTAGTTTATTATTCCCGGGGTAGAAATGAAGATAAAGAATAAAACGCGCATTGAAACTTTAAAAAAAAACTGCAAAAACGTGCAAAAACGTGCAACTTCAGATGTTGGAAGTAAGAAACTGTCATGATTAGCGTCGTTACACGTGGTTACATGGTCGCAGAGCGCGACCCATGCGACCCCTGCCTACACCACTGTGATGGTGTTCTGTCTTCAGGTGCCGCAACCGCCGACGACCACCCCCAAACCAGTACCGAGCTGGATGACGCCCTGGGAGCTGCCGACCGCCCACCCAGTGGACACCACTCCGCCATCGGCCGGCGGGTCCGCCACCACCACCGCAACCACTGCAACCACGGCCACCATAACCACCGAGGCCCCGACTGCCGCTTCCACCACCGCGAGCTCCGCCGCCACGGCCACCACCAGCGACGCCACCACGAGCGCCGCTACCACAACCGCCGCCGCCACAACCGCTGCCAGTGGCAGCGAAAACGGCGTGGCGCCTCCTCCAGCCAGCTGCTCAGAAGGAGCTTACTTCCAGCATGCCGACTGTGGCAAGGTAGGTCATGCAAGGAACACCGCATGACGCTGGCCTAGTATCTTGTCCCTCAGTCTGGTGCCATCAAGTTTACGGTCTGTCATCAAGCGCCATTCACGGTTTACGAGCTACGGCACCAGCTCACTGCGTTCAAGGGGTTTGTTCAGACCTATTGCGGCCATTCTGGAGTCCGGTCAATATAAACGGACCGGGCGTGTCTAACTCGGCTGACGACCCAGCACAACTGCAGACTTGGATTGCGACGCGCCCGCATTTACGTGCTGCTTATCCCGCTTCAGCCACCGTTTGCAATGCAGGGGAGCTCGTGGAAGCAAGACATATACAGTATCGCGTGTGAATTGCGTTGAATCCGAGCTAAATGACATGCTGCGCTGCTGCCCGCGTCTTTCCCGTGCAGACTGCGGCCGACTGCGATCGCTCCACCTCCGCAGTCTGCTGATCACCGGCTCAGCTGACCGCGGCCGGGGTGTCGTTTCAGTACTACTGGTGCGTCCACGGGGTTCCATTTGCTATGGCCTGCCACGAGGGGCTGGTGTTCGACTTCGAGAGCAAGATCTGCACGTGGCCGGAGGAGGCAGAAAACCCGTGTCCGGCTGGGTGAGTAGCCGCGGCTCCGGCTGCGTCCGCCCGCGACGCCGCGCCGGCCCGTAGACTGATGCGCGGTCGCGGCCCGCTTCTGATCATTGAGAACGCAGTCGTCCTCCACAAGTCAACAGACAAGGGGTGACGTCACCAGACAAGGGGTGACGTCACCAGACACGGGGGACGTCATCGTCGATTCACTGCGTCGAATGTGCGGCGTGTTCCAACCATCTCGGACGCAGCTAATGTTGAAATAGATAATTTACGATTTGGGCAAGTTAATGAACTTGTGTTCTCCACGAAGCAGTACAGATGTTGGTTTGCATTGGCCTTAACCGTTTTTATTAAGTCCTAGTTATACATTATGCACAGGGCCTTCTTAACGTTCTTAATATCACTGCATTCACCGAAACCTGTGACTTTCTTGTGCCTTTTTTGGCCCTCCACACCTGTGTCTCTCTTGCGGCCGCTCTGACCAGCATACTCAGGTAAAAGTCCGGTTCTAACGCCCCGCCCTCTCACAGATTGTCTTCCCCGTCCACATCGCTGTACGTGCGGGGCAAGTTCATCCCGTCCTACTCTCAGGACCCGTACTACAACCGCAACGCGTTCAAGTTCCAGGACGATCCGTACGACTATTTCGATGACCTAACCGAGACGGAGAAGCTTTTCCGCCGCTTCTGAGCCGAGCTGGCTGACCTCGGGTCGCGGCAGGGTGGGCCGCGGCACCCTGGGTCATCGCTGGGGTCAGCGGCAGCCCCCGGGTCATCGCCGGGGTCAGCGGCGGCGCCCCGGGTCATCGCCGCCAGCGGCCCGCGCCGTCGGAGAGTCAGCTGGGCTCGGGAGATATCAGGATATCGTCGCTATCAGTGTTTTTTTTTGGGGGGGGGGGGGCAGGCAGAAGCGTGTGCCCGTACCATGCGTGATCAGACAACCAGCACCATGAGTGCCATACGAAATCAGGCGGTGAGCATTATGGATGTCATAAGAAACCAGTCAGTGTGCACTAACGATGCTGTAAGAGAAGAGACGTTGAGCATTATCTGCAATTTAAGAGAACTGGCAGACAGTACTGTCAGTGGAATAAAGATCAGTCAGCCAATATTGTCGTTGATCTTACAGAACGAGCAGCCAACACCATTTATTACATCAGAAGCAAGGCAGACAACTTTGCTGCTGCAATGGAAGGCCCTGCAGACATATCTATGGGTGGGGTAAACAGAAAGGCAAAAAACAGCATCGATGCCATAATATATCAATGGGTTAGCACCACCAGTTTCACAAGGCAAACAGGCGGTTACCACCACCAGTTACATAAGACAGCAGGTAATCGCCATCGTCCCTGATATCAGGCGTCTGACAGCCAACGCCGTAACCGCCATGGAATGTCAAGCAGCCGGCACCACTGATGCCGTTTGAGATCAGACCAGGACAACTGCCACCGTGGTAAACGCCCAGACAGTTGGTGTCATCAGCGCCATGGGTGGCCGGGTCGTGCAAGACCTTAGCGGCTGTAAGCGCGGTAGTTACGAAGCGGCGACAGCTGCGACAGCTGCGAAGCGTGGTCCGCTGCGCAGTGTTGAGCTCACCTGAAATGGAGAGATCGACAGCCCGGCTCCTCTCCCTCAGTCGCGTTCAGTTTATAGGCGTGTGAGTGGGCGACATGTTTCTTCTGAGCAGTCTTTTGTTGGCTAGCCCTAGCGTGCGCCTTATGAACTCGTCTTGGCCGTTTTCACTTGTGCGTTTAGATTGGCGACGGCAAAGGACCATGCTAGATTTGTGAACCAGTGTTGCAAGTGATCATGCATTGTCCTCGAGGTGCATTGTTGGAATATACATTGGGAACGAATTGCATGGCAGAATTGCAGTTCAGACGCGTTGACGAATGATAGAAATGCCACTCGCTCGTGACATGCAGGAATAACGGGGCAAACTTTGCGACATTGTTTGGCGATCCGTAAATCATGTCCTATCGTTGCACAAGAACGCAGGGTCTCTGGAATCATCGTCTTTTACGTCCGTTTTCATTGTGTTCGTAGGTGCCATTTAATACTTGATTTGCGTTAGCTTGCTGATGCTTAGGACCATTGAACCAAAAGCTAGGCTAAAAGGCAGCTTGTTAGTCCGCTCAAGCTCGTTAAAGCCTATTGAAAGCTATGCCAAACCTTGCGTCTAGGCTATGACGCGATGATGATAATGACGATTGGGGAAGTCAAAGAACTGAGGGAGACTGTAGTTAAGAGTAGCTAAGGGTACTGTAGTAGCTCAGAAGACCAAGACCACTCTACAGTTTCGAAGGCAAGTCCATGCAAACACGGAGCTCAAGAAACATGCGAGGCACGCTCGTTGTTGACCGTGCAAAGGGCGAGTAGTTTGCGCGTTGGAGAAGTCCAGCCATGATATGACGCGTTGAGAGAACTCAGCATCGACTGACGATATGTCGAAGGCCCAGCTTAGGACGTACACCTATCTCGGCTTGTAGAGTGAATCACTCAAATTTTGAAGCATATTTGCTTTAGCGCAACCTGCTTTCACCGGCCTTGGTGAGCCCTCTGGAACGCATAACACTGATCTAATAGTTTGTCCGTTTGCCTCCCGCACAGGATGGCAAAAACAACAGGGGTTCCACGCTGCTCCATTTCAACACCCCCGCAGCCCTGTTTTGAGTGAATCACTCAAATTTTCAAAGCATATTCGGTTTAGCGCAACCTGCTTTCACCGGCCTTGGTGAGCCCTCTGGAACGCATACCACTGATGTAATAGTTTGTCCGTTTGGCTCCCCGCAGGATGGCAAAAACAGCAGGGGTCCCACGCCGCTCCATTTCACGCACCCCCGCAGCCCTGTTTCGAGTGGGCTCTTCGTGGCCCACTTGACGACCCGGATCCCGATCCCTCCCCCATTTTGGAGCAGATCCGGCGGGGCAGCTCGCCGGCCGCCCCACCGCCCCTCCTGCGGCGCAGTTCAGCATAAACAAACCGACCAGACCGCTTCCCCTCCCCCGCCGGACCGAAGCCGGGCCGGCGAGCAGAACCGCCGCGGGGCAGGACCGGACTGCGACGGCGAGTGAGCGGCGCGGTGGCGACGGTGGCCGGGGCAGCACGCCATGAAGATCGACATCCACAACCACATCCTGCCGAGGACGTGGCCAAACCTTGCCGAGGTCTGTGCTGGCGGTGACGCCCCAGGGTCAGTCTTGGTACGGGCACTGGCCGTGAGACGTTATGACATTATGTCCAGCGGCATATACAAGTCTGAGAAAGAGAGGAGAGGGGCGCGGGCAACAAATGCATCTTGAGATTGCTGTTGCCATCGCCAGCACTCATGTTCAACTTTCACGGATGTGTGAACCATTACTTCTCTGCTCCTTTGCGCTGTACGTGTCATTAGTCATAGCTCAGAATCGTTTCGATGTGACTGTGCTAGCTAAGTGGTTCTTCTCCGCTGAAGCATGAGCGAACCATCACTGGGTGCGTGTGTTTATGAGCCTAAAATGTCTTAGTTGGATCCTGTGTGAGTGGTGATATCCGCACGAGAACCACGTGCCAATTTTATTGATCACTAGAACTTTTGAGGAAAGCGCTGAAGCTAGGAGCCCAGCCATTTACCAAAGCTATTTAGTTGCTGGAGTTTGGCGTTCAGTTCTACTGGATTGTGATTCCCACCAATGCGTTTCTACAGCAATAGCCGCGCCCTCCAACACGACAGAAAAACGTAACAAATGCTGACGTCCCTGTGACAAGCTTGGTGGGGGAGTCAGCCAACTGTAAAAGTTGTTTCGTTACAGGTTTTTCGTTTCATTACCTTAAAAATATGTTTCATTTAGCTCAAATGCTTGCTGGAATCCAAATTATTCCTGCATTGAGTCATCTCGTCCACTTCAGAAGCCGAGCTGATGAGGCTTAGTGAACGAAGCTGACTCATAACAGGGATAAAAACAGTGTTTCTTAGTACAACCAGGACGAAAGTCCAATGAAAGCAGGTGCTAAATCCAGAATGGGCTGAAATGAGAGCCGGTGGTAAATATTTGTACAAATTGTGCATACAGTGTTACCATATATGTGCCAGTTTCGATTTAGATACAGATGTATGTGTCCACATGTCGTCATGTCATGCTCAACATCGCTGAGCAAAGACAAACACAGGCTTGATCTGTGATGTCTTTGGAATGCCGAGCCACATCACCCTCCAAACATCTGCCACAACCGATCAGCTGTAAGCGCTGTGCTGATGCTGGATGTTGCAGCGGTATGGCTACGGCGGTTTTGTTCAGCTGGAGCACTGCCCGAGCACGCCGGACACAGCACGGATGATGCGGGATGGCCAGCTGTTCCGGGTCATCAAGTCCAACTGCTGGGACCCCGAGGTCCGACTGAAGGAGATGGACGAGACGGGCGTCACCGTGCAGGCGCTCAGCACCGTGCCAGTTATGTTCAGCTACTGGGTACGTCGGTGTTTCATTAATTCATTCCTTGTGACGCATTATGTTATTTAATTTGTGAGGCTTTAAGTGGACGGCAGTGAAGTGATGGCTCATTGGGGACGGGTCGCGGGTAGGAAGCCTTATCAAGCATCGGATCACGTTTTCTGCACGCGAGCTGCTTCCTCGAACTTGGCACCGTCTCCCTGCCAGCTGAATGGCGTGGGTGACTCCATCTACATACGCTCAGCGGGCCTGCAACAGATTGTCACTGCATCTCAAATGGGATTTTCGCTCAACTGCGCGGAAAACCAAGTAAATAGCGTTGGAACTTGTCTTGATGGAAAACGTGCGTGAGGGCTTTCGATGTTAGCCGCTGTTTGCGACATGTGCCCAAAAATAAGTCAGTTGTTTTGTTCAAATGCTTACACGGATTCAAATTATTTCGGCATGGAGTCATCTTACCCACTCCAGAAGCCGAGCTGATGAGTCTTAGGAAACCTTAACGTTTATACATACAAGCAGTCCGTGGTTGATAAACCAATTATCTCATTCCTTAACGGTTGCCGACACGTCATAAACTTGTATTCATTTCAGACAGGACATTCGGTAAGCTTGACCTGTTCAAACTATGAGAACGTGAGAGGGAGAGACATCGGTCCAGCTGGGCGGATGGCCCAACCCTAAACGTTCGACTCCTGGTGTTGCCCCTAAATGTGTAAGGCTCCGGCCGAAGTTCAAATCCAGATGTTTTGCCCCATGCAATATGCATGCAACGTATACTGAAACATTAGTCTCTACTTGTATTGCACCCTGAACCTGGGAGTTAAGTCGGTGAAGCGGCGATGATGATACTTGATTTCAGCTATTGGCATGGCATCGATTCCGTTCAATATTCCTTATAGACACATTCTCCCACTGAATGGAGAAACGACCCAAGGAGGTGGCATACGTAAGACTGCTGGTAGGGGCCGAACTCTTTGAATTGTCAAAGGCAGTCCGAAGAGTTGTGTGCATGAACGCTGGTTGGACCTGGCTGTACGAATGCGTTCTGCGTTTTTGGTGGATGTTCTTCAAAAACCACACTTTTGTGCCAGCTGTATTTTTCCTTGTGTCGTGCCGATTATCTCAGCAATGACCACGTTTGCACGATGACCAAAAGTTGACATCCATAATCACATTCGAGACTTTGCTGACAATTTGCGTGCGCCCTGAGACGCGATGCAGTGGCCATTCGATGCAGTGGTCATTCAGTGCGCATGCTGTCGGTCATGGCCCGGGTGTGTGCAGTCATCCCATGACGGGGGGTTTCAGGCCAAGCCCGCGGACACGGCGGACCTGTCTCGCATTCTGAACGACGACCTGGCGGCCACCGTGGCCAAGCACCCCGCGCGGTTCGTCGGTCTGGGTGAGCGCTCCTGTGTGTGCAGCTGCTTCTGCAGTGACGTTTGCTAGCCACCCACGCGTTGGCTTTGCTTATCTCAAAGCTTGTTACTGTGAACATTGCTTGTTCCCAACGCTACGCTAGACGTCAAATGGCCATCAGCGTCGTTGCAATGGTCGCCAAGCTGCCTCCTAATGCTGTTCATATGTGTCACACCTGAATTAACGTTTCGTTTTCAAACCAGCTGTGCTACGCACGCCGATGGTGTTGCGATTGCCAACGTGTCAAGTGTGCCAAAGCCAATGATGACCCGGCTGACCTGAGCCGTCTGGCCTGGAGGTCACGCAGCTCACACCCCAAGTGGCCACAGCAATGGCAATAGTATTATGGGTTTCTACGTTGCGAATCTCCGTCCTTCAACATCCCAGAGGGGACCGATTGAACAAACGATTTAACAAGTAAACATGATGGCACATTATGAGGAACCTGGCTCTTGGAAACAGTGCTCATGGTGACGTCTGCTTGAATCCAGGACCATAAACGTCGAGGTTCTCGTATTACACCTCAATGTTTGCCTTTTAACGTCGTGTAGCTAACGTCTGCTGGCACAATGAGGTTGGTCATTTACACCGCAGGCACTCATCCTGCGTAACAGCCAGGATCTGCAGGCCTTTCTGCTCATGTCATGCGCAGTGAGCACATTGGCTGCGAGCGCATTGAAGCGCAGTTCTTTGAAGCTCCGCGCTGGTGCCGACGGCAGAGGCACTGTGCTTCACACAGAATCTGCTTTTGCCGCTCTGCAGACCCCGTAGTTCCAAAGACCCACCTGCTACGTTCATGCTCGTCACACGAGGCCTGCAGCGTCCTCGATAGCCACGCAAGGCACCCTTCAATCGTAAAGCCGTGACCTGTACTCGCAATGCACGCGTTGGCTCTGTCCCAGTGTCCCATTTCTGTCCCAGTGTCCCAGTTCTGTCCCAGTGTCTCAGTCCCAGACACGGCAGTGTTATCTGAATATGACGACGGCCGCTCGCCTCAAGCGTATAGATTGCGAGCAGCACGAGTCCTCGTGTGGTTGACAGCCATATCCACAGGTCTCATGCAAGCAGTAACTACGTTTGACCCGTTGTTAGCTTTTTGACACGCATGCTATAAATATTGCCCTACCCCCCAGTCATATAGGGTACTTACACAACATATCTGTCAAACGACTGGACTACCCTGATTTCCTGACAGCGCTTGGGCTGGCTGTGCCTTTAAGACTATCTGAAGCTTTTTCTCTATGGGAGATACCTTCCGCTTTAGTGAATGCAGTTTCTGAAGGCGCATTGTGACGTGCCTGTTGGATCAGTAATACCTTTTTTTTAATTCCTGCAGATGCTTTGAGTTCTTTTCATCAACGCGCTGTTGTTTTTTTTGTGTATTTTTGCGACAGATGTAGAGAACCCATGCTTTCAAAAAATGGGTGTGCTTATAAGTAGACTTGGTAGAACTGTGGCTATGTCTGGCAATTATACCTACCTTTCTACGGACTTAAAACGTATGAATATGACATGAGCTATGGGCTTACCGGCAACTTGATTTTGCTAACTGAGTACACCTGCGAGTGCATATTCTGTCTGTTGATCTTCAGCTAGTAAACATTAACATTTATTGCTGTAAATCTGTCACTGCGAGAGATCTAGTTTACGAAAATTACTTAGTGATTTCAGAGACCAGTTTTGATTTACAAAACCGGTCTGTGTAAATAACCCCCGAGCTGCACCGGAGAGGGCCTGGCTTTTGACACCGGTTAAGCCGACATGGACGTGGTTTGGTTACCCCGCTGACCAAAGCTTGTAAACGATGGTGGCTCCCAGCCAGTCTGACCTGCACCTGCTGCCCCGACCTGAGTATTACGTCGTGAGCTGAGTCGCTCTGCGATCTGATTCTGCCTTCCTACCCTTAGTTTGGTCCCTTGAGTCGTGCATGTTTGCCTGACCTGAGCATTCTTCCCTAACCTTTGAGGATGCTTTCCTAACTCGAATCAACTCGACGTACCGGAGCATGGCTCGTTAACTGAAATCTGCTTCCTGACCTGAGCCCACCCACGTGACCTGAGCCAGCCCACTTGACCTAGCCCTGCCCCCTTACTTGACCCCGCTCCTCTAACGTGACCTTGATACCCTAATCTTCCCTGCTCCCCTGACTTGACCCTGCTCTCCTGACCTTACTCTGCTTTCCTGGCCTGACCCTGCAGCTCTGACCTGAACCTGCCGCCCTGACCTGAGCCTGCTCCCTGATCTAAGACGGATCTTCCGACCTGAGCCTCTCAAACCGGCCTTACCATGCGCACCGATGGTGTCAGGCTTGACATCGTGTTAAATGCGCTGAAGCCGGTGGTGCCCTCTGCACTGACCTGAGCCGTCTGTCGGAGTGGTTGTGTACTAGACGTGTACCGGATCGTGTGCCAGGTGCACTGTATCTGTAGTTAAACCGCAGTAAGCGCAAATGTACTGTAATGTAATATATCGTAATGTAAATGACATGTTGCATATTCTATACGCGATCCCCTTATGCTTGCGTGCTTATTGAGGACAATTACTGTGGGTCACCACGCTAACGCTCGTGACCAAGGCATTTCACCTGCCTCGAAATTGACTTCTGCCACTGAGATTGGCATGAGATACACGTTTCCCGAGGGCAGCTTTATGCTAGAGATCGTCTCACAAAGCACTCTCGACGCTCGCCCAAGGCACGCTTGAATCACAAGGCCATGATCTTCGCTTATAACGCAAGGGTAGATCCGTGACTAGGTTTAGTGCATCCTTATTTTGAGAATCCCTTTCAATATCCCATTTCCCATACTAGAGCTTATTTTCATCAGCGCTTCGTATTCTGTCTGCGGCTTCGCTAAGTGATATCGTTCTTTATCCTGCGGCAGGGCTGTTGACTTCATTTCATCGACGCACGTTTTGGACAAACGCAAAGGACGCCGGTTTTCGAAGAGAGTGGGTGCCTAGATGTTATGTCACGTGGTAAAAAGTCAATGTGTACGTTGTGTGACTCTGACCTTAGATACCACGGTCACACTTGTGCGGACTGAAAGCGAACTCGCTGGCGACGCGGTGTTGTGCTCCAACTTCACCCCTGACTGGTCGTGCTGCTTATCGTCATCACAGCCAATTAGCGTAAACGTAAGCATGTCTGCTGTCGATTGCATGTTGCAAAAGGTAGGAGATATAGTGGTCTAGCATACTCACCCAAAGAACCAGGATGACGTGAATGATTGACAGTTTTAATCACAGCTCACCGCGTCACAGTCTGTGTAAACCACGCCCATACAGCGCCAAAGCGGTAGACGGTAGGCCCCCTTGACCCGGGCCCTCTCCCTTGACCTGAGTGTGCTCTCCCTGGCCTGTGCTCATCCCCCGATCTGTGTGTGCTCCCTGACCTGAGCTCGCTTCCTCGACATGTGCCTGCTCCCTCGATATGCACCTGCCCCCTGGACATGCGCCTGCTCTCTCGACATGCACGTGCTCCCTGGACATGCCCTGCTCTCTCGACATGCGCCTGTTCCCTTGGCACGTGCCTGCTCCCTCGACATGCGCCTGCTCCCTGAACATGTGCTTGCTCCTTTGACATGTGCCTGCTCTCTCGACATGCGCCTGCTCCCTGGACATGCGCCCGCCCCCTTGACATGCGCCTGTTCCCTTGACATGCGCCTGCTCTGTCGACATGCGCCCGCTCCCTGGACATGCGCCCGCTCCCTTGACATGCACCTGCTCTCTCGACATGCACCTGCTCGCTCGACATGCGCCTGCTCTGCTGATCTGAGCCGATGCCCTAGGGACGGTGCCGATGCAGGCGCCGCTGCTGGCTGTGGAGGAGATCAAGCGCGTCCGGAGCGAGCTGCACATGCCTGGCATCCAGATCGGCTCGCACATCGGCGACTGGAACCTGGACGCGCGTGAGCTCGACCCAGTCTGGAAGGTGACGCAGTTCGTTTGAGTTCTGAATGGCATCAGTTTCGGGGGAGTGTGCGCGGATCGCCCTGCATGTGGACATGAAAGGTCTGGGTGGTCCATTCCTTACGCCGCTAAACTCATTTTGGAAGATATTGTTATTGTCATTGAGTGATGGCAATGACAATGGCAATACCTTCAATAACCCTTTTTGACACTCTCGGTGGCTGACGCTATATGGCGTCACCTGCCCCCCGCCCTGGCAGGAGGGACAGCCACCAGGGGAATCGAACCCGGTACCCTTGGCTTCCCAGACACGCAGCTAAACCATTGTTTCTTAAGCACCCCCGTTTTGGAACGGACAGATATATTCGGCCCATATGTGGGTACCTTGCCTGACTGTCGCTCCACTTTTGATCCTCTCCAATGCGAGACAAGAGTAGATCACCTGATGTGTGACCCGTCGGGAAGGTAGCGTGCGCTCATCAGTAACGCCCGGGCACAGTCTGGAACGCCCTGCTGCACGAATTCCCCGTGACACGCCGCAGACCACCCAAGAGTGATCTGACCATTTCTGGAGTGGACAGGGATCTTATTGTGACCCTGTCTGATAGACGCTGACCTTCCGTATCTGACGCTGCCTGGTGGGCGCAGACCTGTCATGTTTAACGTCGACTAGCTGGTGCCGATCTCGTGTTGTGTAGCGCCCTCCGGCGAGGCCCTGGTCTTTCCTCCTTTGTCCCATACGCGGGGCTGTGGCAATAACAAACAGGCCCGCCCTGGCAGAGGCCTCTTGCAAAGTGTAATATAGAGTTGATCGCGGCAGCCGCAACGTTGACGCATCGCGCTACTCACGCCGGGCATTCACCATGTAACGAGGGAGGGACCTAGCTTAAGGGATGGGAGAGAGAGACGGTCGAGAACTCACGCACCAGCACTGCACGGTGCTACTCCATGGAGCTGCTTTGCACGGTTCTGAGAGTGGATTGTCCTGTATGGAGCATTCCACGCCCCATACTGCTTTGTATTCTGCTGAAACGTCTCATTTATAATGACAACGTACTGACACTAACGCGCAGCCAAACGTGCAAGTTTGTCTTACTTTCGTATTGCAACTGATTGTTTTGCAATTCTCACCCATCTGAATAAATGAATGAATTTTATGAATAAATTTTAATAAATATAGTAAATGAATAAATTTTGATGTAATGTAAATGAAAAAAAAATAAGTAAATGAATAAATTTTGAATGCTATCGTGGATGATATCATGTGTGCGTTTGGCACTCCATGTGTTCAAACAATGATGCGGCTGTCGTTTTGACATGGACTATGACCGGGTTTGCTGGTGTCACGTGCAGATGTGCGCGACTTTGTCTGGCCGGGACACATGTCTTCGTGTGTTCACCGGCCTGCCAGATGCACATCTTCCCATGCGCGATCTGTCTGGCAGGTAGCTGTGTGTGCGTGCGTGCGTGCGTGCGTGCGTGTGTACGTGCGTGCGTGCGTGCGTGCGTATGCGCGTGCGTGTGTGTGTGTATGTGTGTGTGTGTGTGTGTGTGCGTGCGGCGTGCGTGCGTGCGTGCGTGCGTGCTTGCTTGCGTGCGTGCGTGTGTGTGAAGTTTACGCACAGCTGTACATGGCCACGCTTTAAAGGCCTGCCCTAGCCGGACGGTATCACATCTGGAGAGATCCTCCCATCCTCCCATCCCCCCCCCCCAAGACGGTCACACGTGTAGAAATATGCACCCTCCAGGCGGTGTGCTCGCATTGAGAACCCAGACGGTGTGTTCACACTGTGAGCCTGTCTGGATGGTGTGTTCGCGCAGAGAACCCGAACGGAGAGTCCACTGTGTGAAGCTCTCTAGAGAACGCAGATTTCTGCCTGCGTGACCGTGTTGGGAGCATGACAATCACCCCAGGTGTGGTCCTGTCCGGAGAGTACATGTCACCAATGCATGGCGCTGCGGTGCTAGCGCAGTCCTTCCCATGTTTGACCTCGTATGGCAGTTACAGATTTGCCCATGTGTGATACCAATTTATAGGTGCAGATTTTCCCATGCGTTCGGCTTTGTCCGATAGGTGGCGAATTTCCCACGCCGGATCTGTGGATAGTGCCACGTGTGACCCCGCTGCACAGGCGCAGCTCACCTCCGTGTGACGTAGAGCGTAGTAATGCGTTTGGCTGAGGCGACTGACGAAGCAAAGGAACATAATAAAGATTAGGTGACTGGTAAAGGAACAGGTGTCCTATGCTGCCCACTTGGACGGCTTACAACCTTTTGTTTAGGAGATGTTCTTTGCCTGGTTTTAGGAACAAAAGCAAATACTTCAGGTCAGTGTCCATAAATAAAAAAAAAACAAAAGCACATGGCACTTCGGATAATCATTTTGCACCTTCGTAGCATAAGAGTCCAGGCGTCAAAGCAAGGCATAGCAGAAAACTAACGCCACCTTTAATTTGTGGCTGGTGTTGGGGTATGTATGGCCCGATGACTACTGGCGTGTGAGCTGCAGCTCCAGCACGTGTGTGCGTGCGTGCCTGCGTGCGTGCGTGCATGCGTGCATGCGTGTTTGAACGTACGCTCGTGTGTGGGCGGGTGTCCCTTGGTCTAAATACAGAACGCTACACCACGCTTCTATTGCATTTTTTAAGCTGGAACCCCTCCAGGATGTGTCCTATCGTGTCCTTATAGTTTGTTTGATAATCATGGCAACAGATCTTGAGTTAGTGTTGATGAACTGGTGTTGAAGAGATGAGCCGGAGAGACGAGACGATTCGGTAACGAACACCAATTCCACAATTTCCTCGCCGCATGCCCTCGACAGCCAGTGCTCCGAGACCAATGACTGACACGCGGCCTGACAACTTGTCTTGAACTTGACTTGACTTGACTTGACAACTTGACGACCGCTTGTAGTAAGCTGCAGCTGCAACACTTCTGTCCGTGCTTTCAAGGGAAAGAGGCCCAACCGGTCGGGGACAGAGCCATGTCTCTCCGGCCAGCAATCAAATTTAAGCAGAGCTCAGCTTACCACCCAGCTTCAAAGCTGCCGTGTCCTTCGAATGTGTGCTGGTGGTCATAATGACACCCGGCAGCCATACGTGTAAAGGTGCCCGACGTACACTACAACGTACAAATGTGCGCCTGTTTAACTTCGCAGGTACGTTACAGTACGTTTTTTGGTGTACAACAGACCCCTTCGTGTATATTGTTGCCTAGTTCTAATTATGATTATTGCCTGCACAGATTTGAAAGCAGACCAATTTAAAAGTATTTCCCTCTCGTGGTAAGTGGAGCCTCGGTTAAACCTGACGGGTGGTTGAAGAGCTGCAGCTCCGTCACCGGCCGGAAGTGCTTCTCTCCCTTGCAAGCACGAACAGAAATGTTGCAGCTGCAGCTGGCTACAAGCAGTACACAAGTGGGTTCGTCAGGCTGTGCTCCAAGCATCAGTTTTGTAATAGTTGCTAGCAGCTAGCTGCAGTAAGGGAATTGTAGGCTTGTCTGCTCATCGCCAGCTTATCACCACTAATTTTGTACCCTTTAAGTGCGTGATACACACTTTCTCTGAACATCTGAGGCTTATCGTTGGCCTGATATTGTGCGGCATTTGTTACTGTGGCTATCAATATAACTATAAATTAAAAAAATAATATGGCCTGGAAAGTTCCTTACTTTTAAAACTGCAATGGTATGATGGGATAGCATCCTTTATTTAAACCAGCGAGGAAACGCCCACGCATGCACGCCCACGTAAAAGCACATGCACGCGCACCCAGACGCATACCTACACAGCCACACACACACCGTACGCACACACCGTGCGCACATGTGTATAAGCACATGCACGCACACCCAGACGCATACCTACACAGCCACACACACACGGTACGCACACACCGTACGCACATATGCATAAGCACACCAACAACTGTTGTCATGGAACGTTCCAACAGAATGGTCAGTTACACTCCCCATACTCCCCTTCTCCCCATTGTTCATGAAATAAGGCAAGTAAGGGAACTAGCCTTTTGCTGAACATCTTGTAAGCAAAGTGTGATTTGTACCGCCCTTCTGCCCATACCCTCTCGACACTTAATGCTATGGCGTGGAATGTGGACTTCTTGCACCATGACGCTGCAGCCATTTTTCTTTGTGCTCCATCCAAGCAAATTCTAGTTTCACGTTACATCAGAACATTCTGCAAAGTTAGATTGGTTCTTATCACCACACCAGTGTTGGTGGGTATCGAATGTAACTACATGCCACACACACACTCCGAGGCCTGGTACTCTATTTCTGCCGCCACGGAGGGTCGAAAACGAAAATATTGCCCTGTCTGATCGATGCAGACTTTTCCATCTGTGGCCTGTTTGGAATGTGGAGACCTCCACCGCGTCGCCCTGCCGGCTAGGTGGAGACCTTCCCTTACGTAACTCTACATCACAGGTACACGCATTCTCCATCGGTGACGCTATGGGATAGCAGCAGACTTTCCCACTTGTGAATGTCCCGGGGAACGCAAGCTTTCCCATATGTAATGTATATCCCAGACTTTCCCATATTGTGAATGTCCCGGGGAACGCAGACTTTCCCACATGTAATGTATATCCCAGACTTTCCCATATTGTGAATGTCCCGGGGAACGCAAGCTTTCGCACATGTATCGCTGTCTCAGATGTCCGCGTCCCTGCAGCGTTCTTGTCAAGGTGTGACGGTGGGAACTGCAGATCCCGCCTTGCCGGATCGCTTAGGCGTAGGTGCAAGCCTTTAGTGTTCTCTCTCACTGCAACTCTTTTGGAAGGCACGTGCAGTAGCGAGGTCTCCTGTCCTTGTTTGGGCTCCGCGTGGAGGCATAATTATCCCGGTCCAGTGGACCCTCTCTTGGAGGGTGCAGACTCCGCGTAACAGCCAAAACAACAATCCCTCACCCTGGCTTGTTATTCCACTGACACAGAAATTTGGAAAGGCTTGTGGGAACTGCGAGAAAAACAGCTTTCACTCCACTTTCCTCTCTGGGCCAAGGTCCATCAGCATGCGATGCGGCAGGTTCGAAAACAGGCGGCAATACAGGGTATGAAGGTTAGCAAATTTCGTCCTGTCGTCAAGGCCCACCGCAGCAAAAACACCATGGACGCGCTGATCAGCCAGCGTTGAAGGGCTCCATGAAGGGCGTTGTTCGATGTTGAAGGGCGTGCGCCGGACGACACTTTGGTAATACCTCTGCTGCCACAGATCGCAAACGAGCTAGGGAGTTATGTTACAGCCGAGTGGGCTCCTTTCTTCAAAAATGTCATGGAATGGAAGCGTAGCATCCTTTGTTTAGACGCACGGACAATGCACGCATGCTTAAATGCACACACACGACCATCCCACCACCACCCCCGCACGCAAGCACACGTACACGAGCAGGCGCACGCACACGCACACACGCACAGCCCCACAGTCACACAGTCACACACCCACACAGTCACAAATTCATGTTGTCACACTCACATTTACACATGCATGGTCGCTGTCATCGGACTCGTCCAACCGCAGCGGCAGCTACAATGATGGCCTAGTCTGCTTTACTCCACGTCCATCGCGGAGACTGCAATGCCATAAAGGATGTAAATGTTTTGAGGCGTTCTGTGTTTCATGAATTTTATATAGACAGTGACCTGAAGTTTTTCCTTTTCTTTATGAAATAGACCAAAGAACGAGTGCAGCCATTTCCCCGCCATCTCCTAAGTAAAAGTTTGTTTTTTTCAACTGGCCCATAGTACACCTATCTTCTTCTGTCGCGAGCACATCCAGCGCGAGTCGGCTACCGATGTGCACAGGAGTGGATGCATCGAGTTACATATGATTATTGCCTCTTTACAATATGCCTAACACGCGGTCCATGTGTCGCTAGCTCTTTCACAATCGCAGGTAGGAGCTGGACTTGACATGTGTATATCTGTCCAGGTGCGTGCTCCGTGTAAGTTGTGTGCAGTCTCATGTTTGTCCAAGCCACTTGGAAGTCGCTCTTATGCAATACAATTTATTTATGTAATCATATATTTATACGATTATAACAACACAACATGCACAATAATACAATATAATAATAATAATGTGTCGCTACCTCTTTCACAATCACAGGCAGGAGCTGGACTTGACATGTGACAGGTGCGTGCTCCGTGTAAGTTGTGTGCAGTCTCATGTTCGTCCAAGCCACTTGGAAGCCGCTCTTATACAGTATAATGTATTTATATTATCATATATTTATACAATTATAACAATATATCTGAGGCGCTGTGTAATATGGCATCCGACCAAATTCAGGTCAGCACGAGGCACGCTGCACGAGTCCCCTGACGTGATGTGAACTGTGGCCAGCGAACGGGGACCTCTGGCATGTCTGTGCCTGTGACACCTCATGACCTATACATGCCTCTGGTGGGCACGATGACCCAGTGTGGTAAGGCATGTAAGGTTGTAGGCCTTGTGACCACGTGCCCAGAGGCTGCCGGTGTGGGCCATGTGCGCGGGGCGTTGTGCATGGGGGTGATCCAGCTAAGTGCATGGGGGGGGGGGGGACTGTAGGACTGTTGAGCCCATGCGCTTGAGTCAATGGATGCACCGGACTGCGCAGTGTCACATGCACAAGTGTTGGGTATGGTCCAGGAAGTTAATGAAGCCATTTCGTGCTGTCTTCAATGCGCTCTGCAATTCTGCATCTCCATTGATCTATTGAAAAGTAACGACTAACACAAAAGAACAGCTATTGGAACTGTCTTTTAGTGTTTTAACTAGAGTTTATTTTTTAATGTTCTCACCAGTTTGATGAACGGACTTGTCTGACCTTGATGACACATTTTTTGAGTGATATTTTCTAAATGCTCTCACCAGTTTGACGAACGGAATAGTCTGACCTCGATGACATCTTTGTTGAATGATTTTAAATGCTCTCACCAATCTATTGAACGAACTTAGTCTGACCTCGATAGCAGATTTGTTGAACGATCTTTGTTGCAACACAGTTCATGCGCCGGCTTGGTGTATATTCGTTGCACGCATGAACTCAGGAGTCAACAATGTCCACGTTGACGAATAGCACTTAGAAGCAGAACGAGAGGTGCTGAATTGTTATGAAGCCCTTAGCGCCGTGTGTTCTAAGTTGGGACATATCTGCGTTTTGTTGCAAGTACACATTCAAGACTTGCTTAATCATGCTTCTTTAAGTATTTTAGAGATTTTCCTTGGGGACAGTTCCCGACAATCCATAAACGATGGATTAATGTGTTTATGGATTCAGTAAATGTATTTTTTCAATTTTTAATTCAGCAAATTCATTGACTAAAAGTGCTGATGAACTAACCCATACACGCGTTCGGCGTGCAATAGAATTTGCCAATCGTGCATGTCTATAGAAAACAGCTCCCCTTGTGTACACCGACGGGAGCCGCTGGTCGGACGCCACGCTGGCTTGAAACGTGGACGAAAACGTGCTGTCCGGTAGCAGCTATAACCTGTATTGGAGAATGGAGTGTGCGAGGGGCGGCTTTGTTTGCAAAGTGATTGTGTGGCAACATCACTGTGCTTTGGGTGGGAAGGTAATCTAATAGCCTATACGGACTGTTTTGTGTCGTGTTTGCCTTCATGTGCTGCTGACTGCCGGAGAGGTCTGGTAGGTCACAGACCAATCGTTTTTCCATGGCATGTAATATGTCAATGGGGCACTTGCTCGCGCTAAACTATCCTTCCGTTTCCTGTCATGTCTGACCGTCACTGAGCTGTTGCCCCGAGCCATTATGTAATGATCGTGCAATCGTTGACATAAAGCACCAGCCTCCCCTGCGGGCTGCCGTGCCACAGAGCCGAGCTCGCGCGGCGTGGCGTGCCTTCAGGGTGCGCCGCCGCCCCATCCCCACCTGCAGCCTGACTCGGAGGCTGCGGTCAGCACCCCTGAGCCGCCGTGTGAGCCCGCCGGACCGTGACACGTGACCCTCCGGCGCAGGCGTGCGAGGAGTTCGGCTGCGCCGTGTTCGTGCACCCGTGGGACATGGAGCTGGGGGGTCGGCACTCCAAGTTCTGGCTGCCCTGGCTGGTGGGCATGCCGGCGGAGACGGCCACAGCCATCGTCTCGGTGCTGCTGGGCGGCGTGCTGCAGCGCTTCCCGCGACTCCGGCTCTGCTTCGCGCACGGCGGCGGCTCCTTCCCCTACACGGTCGGCAGGATCGGTGAGCGGCCGCCGGAGGTGACGCCCTTCTCCGTGAGGCGCTGCTGAGAGGTGGTGGGGGGCTCGATTGGGATGTGACCGTTTGGGGCTGCTGCCATGAGGGTGATGGGGGCGGCTCGTGTGAGACTACGCGGTGGGGTTTGGGGCGGCTCGCGCGAAACTAGTCCTTGCAGTGATGTTCGGGTGAGACTCACGCGGGCCGAGGCTACGCTGTGATGTTAGGGGTTTTCCCAGGGCCCTAGCGAGTGTACCTACGGGTGTCGATTTGGACTCTTGTGTGGAGGTCCTGGCCTCCCCCCTCCCCCCAATGTGGAGCTGCCTCCCCCATGTTGGCTTGGCCCCCCAATGTTTTTGGCTGGAATGCTACAAAAAACGTGCGTAAAAGATGATCATAACACGAAGACTGTTTTCTTTGATCTTTCTGCGTAGTGGTGTCTCGTACCGCTCTCATAATAAAAAGTCATGGCTGGTCTCACCACAAGACACAAATCGTATCAGCTAAGCGGATAAACGATGCAACGAACTTCACATACGCAGCGCCATAAGACACGCAGTGGTTTGTGAGGCTAAAGTGAAAAGCCCTGGAACATGGGGATGACTTAAGTCCCCCATGGCTAACCCCGTTCACGTCTCCCACAACCAAAATGCGTGTCGCCTCCCATGACCGTCATAGAAGAGCGCCATCGGCGTCCTAAGGTGGCCTCTAAAGGAGTGCGTTTACGTGCCGATTAGAAGAGACGCGTGCGTCCAGTGCCCGCCCCCTGGATATAACGCTGCATGACTTCTGTATTGCTTTAATTAAATACTTTTATAAGTTATACAAAGGTTAAAAACATGTATTGCGCCCAATAAAAATAAAGTGGGCTAAATCCAGTGAGAACAGAGAGGTCGATAGGTTGCCGGGCCTTTGGTTCTGCCCCCCCCCCCATAATTTACAAAAATTGACCCCCTGGTTGTACCCAACATGAGACTGAAGTCGCGATGGTTTTGTGGGCGTGACCTGCGTCAGGCGTGGTGACATATCAGCTACCAACCATGTTTCACGCCCTGCGTGAAGGTTTCAGCGGTGTTGGTCACGCGAGACTGCTGGCCTGAGGGTACTGGCGATGTGACTCGTGTGAAATCGGTAGGTAGTGCTTGGGGTGTGGTTCATGCAGGGCTGCGTAGTGCTTCTCGGACTGTGATTTACATGAGACCGAGTGGTGGTGTTGAGATTTGGCCACGTAAAGCTGTCCGCTGGTTTGTGTTTCAGATGGGGCTCAGGTGAGTTTGCCTGGAAGCGGGTGTTTGAGGTGTGACTCGTGTGGGGATGGCAGCGTGGTCGTGTTTGGGGTGTGGCTCATTTGAAAATGGCGCCGTGATGGTGTCATCGCATGGCTCATATGAAGCAATGGGCACAACAACAGTTGGTCGTATGACTCAAATGTTGTATAGATGGCTAGCTGAGGCGAGGCATTCTCCGTTGGATGTCCTCACGCAAGGCTTTAGAGGCGGTCAAATAACGCGAGACAGGTCACTTGTAATCTGAGCGATGCAGCCCTCGAGACATGGTAAGTGACGCTCTGCTCTGACTTGCCGTTCGACGAGGACCAATCCGCTTTTCAGACCATGGCTTCCGCTGCCGGCCCGACCTGTGCGCCCAGGAGACAGCAGTGCCACCTCGTGCCCAGTTAGGGAAGTTCTGGTGCGACTCGCTGGTACACGACGGCGCTGCCCTCAATTTGCTGACGGAAGTTATCGGGAAGGTTGGTGGGGCTGGGTCATTTAGTCGCCATCCGGGCCTATTTGGCCGGTCTGGCAGCTGCTTATGGTCATATATATTGCCAACAGCAGCATTATGCAGTGAATAGGGAGCCCAACGGCCACCAGAGATATTAAGCTCAGTTAATGGCTTAAGGCCATTGCCGGCATAAGTCACTCGGAGTGTCCCCTTAAACGACTGGTATAGTCCCCTGGCTCTTTTCTTCCGGTACTTTATTGGTGCAGATAACGTGTCGCGCCATGTATAACCCACAATGGTGGTGTGCACAATAAGCATCACGGGTGTCCAGGTTCAGCTGGCCGGAGCTGAGGCCGAATTCGCTACAACCCTGTGTAGGCGCGGACTCTGAAGGGGCTGAAGTCGAGAAGCGGGTCCAGCCCGGATGCCGTTCACGTGAAGTGTCGGATACTGAATCCACGATGGTTTGTCGTCTGTCCGGTGCTTGGAACCTTTATGTGCTGTTGACTAAGTGTACGCAGGTATATGCTTCATTTTGGTTTCTGAACTAAGCTGCCATTGTTTCAGAAACGGGTCATCTTTGGGTCCGACTACCCCTTTCCACTGGGGGACCTTCAAGGAGGAAAAATCGTGGAGGACCTCACTGATGCTCAACTGCGGGTAAGCCTGCCTTTCTGCTATAGGCCTGGATCGATCCCCAGATAAGCAAAAAACAAGTGGAAACAGCTGTGTTCAACAGGCGTGGGCGACACCTGTAGACGTGGCTGTGAAGGGTCTGCGAGTAATATCCACATATCCTATTTAGACTGTTATATTTATCGTAGTAATCAAGACTTGCGCGTGCCGGGGACTGCAGCCGAGTTCTGTCCGGGTTTGGTGAATCCGTCGCTTCAGTAAGCTCGCGCGGAGCAAGATCTGGGGAAAAGTTTACATGTAAAAGTACAATTCCTTTCATTTGCGATGTATGCTAGAGTCCCTGTGGGGTCGGACAAGCGTGTGTTTTTAAAATGCCACCATGCGTTGTCCAACATGCGAGTCGTTTTCAGGACGACATCTTCGCTGAGAATGCCCTGGAGTTTCTCGGTCTGGACAAGTCCACCTTCGAGTGAAAAGTTCCATTTACTGGATCGCTGGCATGTATTCTTCAACGCATTCCTGTACGCACCGATCAACTACGATGAACGACATCCAACAAATGCGAGGTGAAAGGAAATATATCTTACCCGCAAGCTAACACGAGATATTTGATAATTCCAGCGGTGTGACTGTCCTGCTGGATACACACAGCGATCCATGCACAACGGCATAACCAGGGCGTCCAGATCTCATTCAGTACCGAACATGGGAACACCCAACAAGGCACTTTTAGTGGATGCTGGAAGCATCCACTGACCGCGACGCGCGCTGCATTATCGCATGCAACACTTCGATCGTTGCATGTAACAAGTATTCTGTAGTTTCGTTATCACCGGTGGTTCTGTCTCTATCGCAGCGTACTTTATCGCCGAATTTTGCTGGTGTTGTGCCACAGACCAACGCCGAATGTTGTGTATTGCTTACACGCCAGATCAGCACAGCTCTGCGGGCGTCGTCGGAACTATCGCTGGCCCACGGCAACGGAGCCCAACGCTGTCATTAGACTAGCCTTGGGGCTGGCTTGGCCTCCGTCGGAGTGAGCGCATCCATCGTGCAAGCGATTTTCGCACTCGTGGTTTGGTTCTGCTGATCAACATTGTCTTGTAGTGACAATGCATGATTCGAAAAAATCGCATCACGCAATACGTTTAGACGACTATTTGAAGCTCTTAATTTGTACTCGGGTACCAAACCAAACTCAGATTCTTTTATTTACCTAGCCATGAAAATGAAGTTTTGGGTTCGTGCTATGGATCACGTATTGCAAGCAGCGAAACTCTAATTTAAGCATCTGCATGCGATATCGCTACCGACGATTCACAGGCGCACAAAAACCCACGCACAAACCAAACGCCGACCCAGAAAACAGCACGTATGCGTTTGCCGCGGCGAGATCTACCGGTAAGCTGTTTGCACATGTGGTGTACTATGTCTGCATGTGGAAAAAGTATGGCGTAGACAGCCGTAGGTTTCGTACCTTTCTGCCTCATTCATTTCGAGCGGCATTTGAGCTTATGATAGTGTTCAGCTCAATTAATGACGCATTTAGGTGTTAAGGCCAAGCTCAACAGCGCACCTTGACACGCCGGTCGCAGCGAATGATCACAAGATGTTGCATGCCGTTGTGGGCTGCACAATGCATAGAGCTACCACAACCAAGTTTTGCGCAATTTGTACTAGCAGTGTACCACAATTAGCAGCGTTGTACTTACGTGAAGCGTGTGAACTATCAGCTTCGTGTAGTGCATAATGCGGGCGTGTTTTGCTATCATACACGTGTATCCCATGTGTCAAGGTAAAACTGCACGGCAATGCTGTGTTGACGATGGGGGCGGGGGAGCACCCGACCTGAAGTCTGAAGTGGCAAGTCTTGTAGGACTTGGTCAAAATGTAAACGTTTACTACGCGGAGTTCACAGATTATCTAGGTGAGGTCTGTTGAAGGGTCTGGTGATGCAAATGCCGCAGTCACTGCCGCATCTGCTGTTGTAGAAGCCCACTTCTGACTGAAATCAGAGGTCGCTCCTTAAAATTGGTGGGTGGCGAATTGCAAATTATGGGAAACCATAACAGAGCCAACCAAAGTTACCGGCTTGGCCAAAACTGGGTCGGCCCGGAGCCGCGACCAGGCCCGACCTTATCATTGACCTCATCATCGACCTCACCATCGATCTCATCAGGGCCGGCCCGCTCACGGGATGTGGTCGAAGTCGAGCGAGCAGGTCTGAGTAAGCGACATCCTCTTGCGCAGCACCCGCCGACCCTCGTCGCCGGAGAGGTGGCGCCACTCGCCGTGCCGTGGGTCGTACTCCACCACCTCACCGGGTGACTCTTCGAACGCGGGCGCCGCCTGGCCATCTTCCTCCGAAAGAGCAACGTACACGAGCCGCCGCGAGATGGCAGCGCGGTCGCGGCGGCTGACTCCCGCGCCCGCCAATGACCAGCGACGGGGCCTGGCCACCCGCGCTGTGGCTCCTCCAGTGACGAGGTCGGTTGGGGAGGTCTTTTGTCGCGCACCGCCGCGGGGGGACGGTGGGTCGCGGGTGGCGCCGTTGGATGAGGTTGCGGGAACGGCGTCCGTCAGGTGGTCGTCGCAGGATTCGGCGATGGCTGTGCCGGCGGGAGCGACCAGCACCTCCGACTCCTCGGAGACGGAGGCCAAGCGTGTCGGCTTTTGGTCCTCGGCCGAGGCTGCGGCAAAAGGTGCTCGCGACTCCGACTCGACCCCTGAGTTCGGTTTCGGCGGGGCTGGCTCGCTATCGGAAATGGAGGCGACGCTTGCCATAGACCCTTTCGGCAAGTCGTGGACAGTCTCGCTGAGGTTCTGGCCGGCCGTAGATGAATCTGCCTCACCTTCCGCCAGTTTCTCTGTCTGATGTGCGAGTAGTTCCGATGACACGTCATTGGGCTCTCCCTGCTCGCGGTGAATCTCCTCGGTCGAAGTCTGTTGGGAGCTACCACTTTCCTCGGCACATTTCTTAACCTCAAGAGGATAGGCTGCTTGTTCTAATTCACTTGCTGTAGTTTCACCATTTGACGTGCATTGGAGAGAAGCACCACCGCCCTCGGCTCGAGGCGACTCCGTTTGTTCTGCTCTTGGTGTGGGGTGGGCATTAGCCGCGTCGGCGTCTGGCGGCGACTGAACAGTTGCCTCAAAGACGTCATCGTCATCGTCGTTTACGTCGTGCGGTTCCGGATTCCCCTGATCGGGCATTGCCTCCGCAGCCTCATTCGCATCTCCAGAATTATTATTCGCCCCCACGGGCTCCGCCCCCGACTCGTCCTCTCTTGTCGTCCTCTCCACGGCCAGCCGAATGGCGTTCTTGACTATCCTCTCGGCCGACTCTCCTCCTGCTCTGTTGACGTCCGATTCCTCCCCCTCCTCGTCCGGCGGTGACGGGACACCGACGCCGTTCTTGAGGATGCCGTGCGGTGCGGCCCGCGCGACAGCCTCCCTCAGCGCGTCCTCAGGCAGCGCCGAGAGGCTGCCCGTGCCGCGCGCCGAGCGCCAGCCCTCCCTGAAGCGCACCTTCTTCTCCTCGGGCCGCTCTGGCGGCCGGCCGGCCGCCGCCAGCTGCAGCAGGTGGTCCAGCAGCGGCACGCCCTCGGCCTGCTCGCAGCGCGCCGCGCCCGGCCGCGGCCCGCCGGCGGCCGTCAGCTGACTCTCGTCCAGCGGGTCGGCGCCGTGTGGCGGCGCGCGCGGGCCCGGCGCCTCGGTAGAGGCCCCCGAGCCCGAGTCCACGTCGCCGCCCGAGTCTGGGTCACTCGAGCCGGTGGACATGAGCGAGGCGCGTCTCTCTGTGGACACTGGATCACCAACATGAGTCAGATCATCAGCCAGCTGACACTAACGGCAGGGAACTAAAAGGCACATCAGCTGTTTACTTTTCCCGCAGTGTTTACTTGGCTCTACTGATAGCTCGGTCAGTGATGGTTTATTTGGTGCTGCGGAGCCGGCCCCGTTTCATCGCTTCAGATTCTTGGGAGGGGGGGGGGGGGGTGGCGGGATCGGATCATTTCATCGTTTCAGATTATCGAGACAGATTCTGTATTCATAACCCTGGTGAATCAGCGTGTATGCCCTCACCCTGCCAGTCCAAATGCGCTTAATCACCACCATCTCCTCTCCTCCCGCAGCCCTGCCTCCGCCCAAGTACCTCTTTTCCCATTGGTTCTAGTGCACCTCCCCATCATCAGCTCCTTTCTTCCCATGGCCCCACCCTCCCGCGTCTCCCTCCCCCCCCCCCCCTCCCCGGCCAGCACCGGTGCACCTCCTCGCCGTCAGCTCCCTCCTTTCCATGGCCCCACCCTCCCGCGTCTCCCTCCCCGGCCAGCACCGGTGCACCTCCTCGCCGTCAGCTCCCTCCCTCCCGTGGCCCTGCCCCCCCCCCCCTCCCCCCGCCAGCACCGGCGCACCTCCTCGCCGTCAGCTCGTGCCTCACCGGGATTGACGCGAATGCCGCGCCGCGCCCGCTCCGCCATCAGCCGGTCGTAGACGCTGAGCCGCCGCGTGGCCAGGTGCGGCGCCGGCGGCTGCTGGTCCGAGCTGGTGGAGGCGCGCCGCAGCCAGGCGCGCCGCTTGTGCTGGCCCGAGCCGGTGCCCTGCTCCTCCGGCATCTGCGGCAGCCGGCCGGCCACCGTCAGTCGACGGGCGGCTGCCGAGGGAAGGCTGCCGCGGAAGGGAGGCACGGAGCGGATGGCGGCCGGGGAGGGAGTGCTGGAGGGAGGGCTGTCGGGAGAGGCGGATGCCGAGCGAGGGTCTTTGGGGGAGGGGGAGATGCTGAGGCAGGCACTGTGGATAGAGACTTTTGAGGGCGGCGTGACTCAGGGAAAGACTTAAGGCAGCGGTCGTGAAGAGACATTGTGCGGAGGGAAGTGTTGCAGGGATGTATGGACTGTGTCAGCCGAGTAATGGTGGAGAACACGGGGGGAAGTGTGTGATCAAGGTCGACTGGACGCCATGGAGTGGGTGGCTGGGGGCGAAAGTGAGTGGCCGGGGACGGAAGTGAGTGTCGCGGCCCAGTCATTTGGGACCAGACAGCGCTTGTAATCGGAGGGAGCCGTGAGTGAGACACAACGCTGGATGATCCTCGGAGACGGGGGGAGATGGCGCGTCCGAATTTTGCTGGCTCCTTGTCCCGCCTCGACGTACACGCATTGTTTAATTTCCCTGGGACAGCTGCCCCTCCACCAATCCCAGCCTCCGTCGTTCCTGCCAGGATGGGGGCCTGTGTAACAGCAGCTAGACTGGACACGCTCACACAGCCTTGGGCGGTGCGTGTGGAACTTACGGAGGGGGTGAGTGTGCGCGCGCGTGCCCGTGCGTGCGCGCGTGCGTGCGTGTATGCGTGCGTGTGCGTGTGCGTGTGCGTGCGCGTGTGTGCGTGTGCGCGTGCGTGTGTGAGCGTGGTCCCTGGGCACCAGCTCAATAAACCGGTCACGAAAGTCCTGTCCTTTCCAAGGCGGCTACCGAACCAGGCCTCGACGCCGGCGAACAGGTCGGTCCGTCAGGTCCGATGGTCCACTGAGTCAGGCAGCAAACTGCACGGGCCGCTTCCGCTCCACATGTTTCGAGCGTGGAAATAGTCATATTCCTGCCATCACAGTCGGACAGCTCATGATGTGCGATTACTTGATAACGATCCATGCGCCTCATGTGAATGTATTTAAATTCTATGATCGTTTAATGCTTGTTTCGCTTCATAATTCCTTGAAATTTGTCGGCGTTACCCCCAAACGTTGGCATGCACAATCTGACGCTATTTTTCGGCAGAGGCTGTTGACCTTACGACCACGGCCTCGATGCCCGAGCGATGTTTTTTTTTTCGGCGAAATTTTGCTTAATTCACTCCCTCCCTTGCACCACGTTATTATTATGGTCAGCAAAGGTCAGCGACCCAAGCAGAAAATAAAGTTGGGGGTCTGCTCGAATTGGTTGTGAGTTATGACACCATCTACGACTAGCGATAAAAAATTACAGCTTGACAAAGAAAATTCTCGCTCAGCGGAAACCAGCAAGTGACCTCGGTGACCTATGCTGTCCGGTGCCAGACACCTTTGATCGATAAGACGCATGGATATGCGGACACTGTAACATGTCATACAGGTACGTTTACGCGAAGGTATGCTCGAGAGGCGTTCTTTGGAGAGAACTTGATCAAACGGAAAACATAACAGTTGACTTCATATGACCTTGACCTTCACACCGAAATAAGTATACTACATCTGGTTGAGCGGTGCGCACCATCAAAGGATATTTTGATAGACTTCCTAGCCCTTGCTCTCCAGAAGATACCAGCGAAAGAAGATACCAGCCCTGACCGCCTCTCCTTCAGGGCGAGGTTCACCTGGACCACCATCAGCACGAGGGCTAAGGTATCACTCGTTTAGCTAAGTGCGTACTCGTATCCGCTTCATCTATTCGGAATGCACACAGGTACTGCAGGAGGCTCCCGGGACCAATGATTATAGGCATAATTTCTTTGCGAATGTGTTGACCGCTTCCACTGAATAATCACAAACCATTGTGTGCCTAGATCATTCCAGAGGTCGAAAGTCACAATACGTTTGGAGCGGCACATGTATTCAGCTGCATTTTCAAGCAAGCTGTTGGATGATATCGACCACATTAATGACGGACTGTCGGATTAGGGGGTTCGAGATCCACAGGCTCAAAGTCGCTTACCCATAAGTCTCCTAGTTCGTGACCGGAACAAACTGTTCGGAATTGGGAGAACCATTCTCCAGTTGGGGGACTATTGCTTTTTTAAAGGCGCAACGATGATGGGCCCCTCTGAAAGAGGGCTCCTCCCCCTCGCCGTTTGACCGACGCTCGGGACAAATATCGCTAGCGCGGCACCTCTCGCTCGTCCAGTCGTCATCTAGCGATGCAAGACATTAAACGAAAACACTGGTTTCATTCTCGTGGCCACGTAAGACAGTATTTTCTTACCAACGGCGTGTTGATGGTGCTGTCTGTCGTAAATCGATATCAAGCATTTGAAAAATGAGCAATCATACGCCAACATGAATGTTTCCTGTTGATGCTGTGGCATGGCGAAACAGAGCCACGCAAGCTCATAACGCTGCCGCACATTGCGTTAGTTCTCAAAGGTCACCTGCTGCTTGCCGTGTGCAGTTCGACTCCCCGCTCTGACACACCGTGACATGGTGTTTCTCGGAACTACTCGTCACATGACACATTATTGCCAAATCACGATGCAGGTGTGTTCTTTTATGACATGATTTGAACTTTGCACCCGGGTCGTCCTATTCTTTAATTGCAACACTTTTGGCGAGCCAATCGACAGCCGAGCTATTATAGAGCTGCATGTCGCGATACCTGGTACCCGCCACGTTCCTAACACGCGTTTATTAGCTGCCGCATCACCTTTAACATAATCCACTTTACACACACATCAGCCGAATTGACTGTCGTACCCTCCGACCACTACAACAGACCACCAGTGAGGAGCAGCTAGTGAGCACTAGTGAGGCACTAGTGCTCACTCGTCCCTCGATATACATATATATATATATATATATATATATATATATATATATATATATATACATATATACATACATATATATATATATATATATATATATATACAGCACTAGTGCTCTGTGTGTATCTGTGTCTCTGCGTCCCAGACAGCGGACAGTGCCTCTGCGTCCCAGACACCGGACAGTGCCTCTGCGTCCCAGACAGCGGACAGCACCCCTGCGTCCCAGACAGCGGACAGTGCCTCTGCGTCCCAGACACCGGACAGCGCCTCTGCGTCCTAGACAGCGGACAGTGCCTCTGCGTCCCAGACAGCGGACAGTGCCTCTGCGTCCCAGACAGCGGACAGTGCCCTCTGCGTCCCAATACCGGACAATACCACTGCGTCCCAACACCGGACAGCACACTGCGTCCTTGACAGCGGACAGCGCCTCTGCGTCCCAGACACTAGACAGTACCTCTGCGTCTCAGACACCGGACAGCGCCTCTGCGTCCCAGATACCGGACAGTAATTCGCTGGGCCGGACACCGGACAGTACCTCGCTCGGCCGGACACCAGGTAGCGCCTCCTGTCGGGCCTCTCTGCCGCTCCTGCTCCTCCTCCGGCGGCACTAGTCCGCTTGCCGGCACCGTCTCCTGCCGTCCAGCCCGGCCAGGCGTGTGTGTGTGGAAGGGGGGGGGGGGGGGGTATTTGCACGACCGGCCATCGACCCCAGCCCGGGCCAGTGTTGTGCTCGTGTGCAGCGTGGCACCATTGATCGGTGGAGGAAACGGCAGGTGGCCCGGCACCGGGAGGCCGCGCGCCGGCCCGCCCCCACCCACCCGCCGCAGCCACGGCCGCTCGGCGGCGCTCCCAACGTACCAACCCATTCCGCTCTTGCTCACCGGTATTCCCACACCATGTTAGTGACCGATGGTGGACGGAAAATGCTAGTCATGTGGCGAACAGCACGTTATTGCCGCGCGATCCGAGCAGGCCTCAACGTGGACTGGAGTGCGGTAGTCGGCATTTTACTGCACGTTTGCTGGGCGGTGGCACCAGCCGATAACGGCCCAAGGGAACGACGATGTATAGGCCTTGACCAAGTAGCAGAACGGTAATGACAGACGACGGAAAGTCAGCACAAAATCTTGCTTTACTCTCTTTTCAGCACGCTGCAATAATGCCGTTATGCTTAGAACGGAAATATCCGGCCTGACACCACAATGCTTGGCAGTCGGTCGACACACCGCAGTCGCGGCAGAACCGCCGGTCTGGCTACAACGGAGAGTGAATGGTGGAACATGAAGTGGCCCACAACTATGTGATCCCGTTCGGTTCGGGTCGCCGGTGCGTGACGCGACATCACAGACACACCATACACGCCATGGTTTTATATTTGACGGACGATGCGTTTTCTATAGTTCGGATTTAACAGCCATCAATGTTAACAACACATGGGTTCGCACAGTCTCACCGGATTGGCGGAGAACGGAAGCAACAAGTTCAACACATCCAGTCCCATACAACAACCGTGATTTGCTCGCTAGTGTGGTTCAAGCTAAACAAGCAAGTCACAAATTACCTCATATCACGATTTCAAGAACAGACGCCGGTGCGTGCCTGCCAGTGGCCCAGCGGGTCCGTGTTTCGACCAGCATCCATGGCTAGCGAGCATGCACCACAAAAGAACATAAAGGAATGCGTCTTGCGACATCACCACTGTATAAGATGCCGCAGAAACACTTCGCCGTAAGAGTTTCACTCACAACAACGTAAGCATTCAGGTTATCAAATATGCAGTCGCATCCAGCCGGTATTGAAATACAATGGCGACAATAGGTCTGCTGCCGTCCGAAGGCAAAAAACCTAAGTGTCATTTTTAAGAAACAAAGTTATTCATATCATTCCACGTAGCTCAAAGAGCTACATCTCGAGATTTGAAATATACAATTTTGAAAACCTGCATTCAAAATATTTCGAATTGATTTTTTTCAACAACATAAGCCTGCTTAGTTTGCCGAGAAAAAAAAAACGCTTCTTAGCAATTTACCTGATGGCGCTTAGACTTGTTTGCCTCTGGACGGCGTTACGTCGTGCCATATCCCGCCGCTACCATCCGCACGATTGGTGGGTGCCACGCATTGGCACCGGTGCCTCGATGGACAGGCAGGCGTGCTGACGCGCGCAACGACCTACCCTGGCACACATCGGCACCCTTCCAACAGAGCGAAACACGCGACGACCACAGGTTCAGCTGCCAACACGATACCCTTGGGTACGTCTACAATTAAAACTGCTTCCTCCGACGGAACCCTGCTGTTGCTCACAGGGCGCACAACCTTTCGTCAGCTGAATACGCTCATCGCTCCAAAGCGAAGCCGATCGGGGAGTACATGACCGCCCCTCCGAGAGGACGAGGGGTCCCAGCGGCTGGACAGATCGCAGCTGAGCGGGTGAGACCGTCCTGGCAGATCTCCGCCCCTCTGAGGGGACGAGGGGTCCCAGCGGCTGGACAGATCGCAGCTGGGCGAGTGAGCTCACCACGGCTGATCTCCTCCCCTCCGAGGGGACGAGGGGTCCCAGCGGCTGGACAGATTGCAGCTGGGCGAGTGAGGCCACCCCGGCAGATCTAGCACCCCACCCCGGGCCTCTGGGCCTTTTCCTCCACCCCGCGATGGGACGCGCCGCTGCCGGACGGAGCAGCCCGCCACAGCGGGGAGCAGCGTGATCTAATAGACAACTTGGAGAACCCAGTGCAGATTCCTCCCTCCCCCCCCCCCCCCCCCATCCCTCTCCCCATCTCATGGCTGCAGCGCACCTGCTTTCTCCCACGCATCGTCACCTTCGCCTGCGCAGCCTACATGGCCCGGAACGAGGATGGGGCCGCGGCGGAGGCACGCTATGACGTCACCAGGTGCTGGTGTCCTGACTGCGCGGTAATTTATCACTAACCGGGGCATTGCGGTTCCAAACCAGCTGTTCTGCCTAGCTGGAGCCGCTCATCATGAATTCGCGACGTCAACGCGTTTTCTCGAACATCACACTACCATTTCTGAATATTTCTCTTCTACCCTGCTTGAACGAAAAACCTAAACCTCACGCATCTCACTTCGACATCTTTCCCGTCTCATGCAATCGCTGCAACTAACTCCCTCGTCTCACGTAGGTATCCCCCATGCGCCGGATTTCCCAGTGCCACGACGTGGAGCTGGGTCACACTACTTTTCCGGCCGGGTCTGCTCCCTGTTACGAACACTGTCACTGGCGTAACGCAACGGCCCCGGGCGTCATCACAGAACACCACATCGCCGCCTGATTGGTCCGCCGTGTCAACCCACGACTGATTCGGCGCACCACGAAGCCTTCCGAACACACTCCACGGCACCTCACCGCCATTCCGGCGAGGCGGTACCGCCGTCCGAACGGCAGAGCCACAACACAATCATCGGAGGGACCACGTCACTCCCGCGGGTCTACCGGCAGTCCACTGCCGCCGCTCTGTCGCGCTCTTGATCACATCCACTGCTCCATCTACTCGCCTTCGGCTGCCGTTCTATCGGTCTACCGCTCCACCGCACCGCCTCCAGTCTTCTTACTGGTGCATCATGACGTCACAGTCTTGACGGAATCATCTACGGTCGTCGCAGAGTTCTACCGGTCTGCCGCTCCACCGTACCGCCTCCAGCATTGTTGCTGGTGCATCATGACGTCACGGCCTTGACGGAATCATCCACGGTCGTCGCAGAGTTCTACCGGTCTGCCGCTCCACCGCACCGCCTCCAGCCTTCTTACTGGTGCATCATGACGTCGCAGTCTTGACAGAATCATCCATGGCCGTCGCAGAGCTCTACCCGTCTGCCGCTCCACTGCATCGCCTCAAGTCTCCCTACCGGTACATCATGACGTCACGGCTCTGGTAGAAGCACATGTAGCCGTCGCAGAGGAGGCGGCGCGCGTGCTCGGGCAGACGCTTGTCGTCGGTGACGGCCAGCAGGCCGCGCCGGCCGTCTTCAGTCAGCCAGCGCGGCAGGTCCGGCACGCGCACCACCTCCGGAATGTTGTAGCCGTGCGCTTCGCCTGTGAACAACGCCAACGCCGATCACCCACACGGCCGGACGATGCGGGCCGGTCACCACACGGCCGGTCACACGGCCGGGCGGCGCGGGCCGATCACCGCACGGCCGGTCACACGGCCGGCGGCGCGGGCCGGTCCACACGCCCGGACGGCGCGGGCGATCACCACACCGCCGGACGATGCGGGCCGATCACCACACGGCCGATCACACGGCCGGGCGGCGCGGGCCGATCACCACACGGCCGGTCACCACACGGCCAGGCGGCGCGGGCCGGTCACACAGCCGGCGGCGCGGACCGGTCACCACACGGCCGGGTGGCATGGGCCAGTCACACAGCCGGGCGGCGCGGGCCGGTCACACGGCCGGGCGGCGCGGGCCGGTCACCACACGGCCGGGTGGCATGGGCCGGTCACACGGCCGGCGGCGCGGGCCGGTCACCACACGGCCGGGCGGCACGGGTGAGCCGTGCAGCCCGACGCAGGGAGGTGCACAAACGCCGGTGGTGACGTGGTCAAGGGTCGGACATGTTGGGCAGCAGTCGCTGTGTGGGATCATGGAAGGTACGCCTTTTGTTTAGCAGGCTTATGTGTAACGGCAATTCTGGGACAAGGGCATGCCGGCCGGCTGTCGTCCATTGCTACTGAACCACACATACACTAACACCGCAAATGCAAATAACCACAACATGGAGGGCGCAACAAGCGGCCATCAATCTTGTTTTGTCGATATATCAGTAATGAGGCCTACTTATGCAATATGTAATTGCTTGACAACGGCGCTACTGCTGGCACGTCCCTGGGCTGGCAATTTCTCGACCATGCTCCTCTGCCCCCCCCCCCCCCCTCCCACACACACACAGGGACCCACGGGTCGCTCGGACGGGACCACACCCTCCGCCTCCTCCCTACGGCGTCCCCACGTCGTCTCCACCGACCCCACCCACCCACAGCGCCGCCGCCGCCAGCTAGACGCCCACCTTTCCGGTCCGCCATCGAATCGAAGAACACCCAGGAGGCGTCCGGGCCGTGGCCAGACTTGGTGAAGGTGACGTAGTGCGACGTGTGGATGCAGACCACGGCGAACAGCTCGAGGTAGCTGCGCGGGATGTGCGCGTGGTCGCGCAGCTCGGTGAATTGGCGCGGCACCTTCAGCGGGTGGCGTGGCGCATGCGAGGCGCGGCTCTGGTGGCTGTGCGACTGCAGAACAGGTCACGGCCAGGGGTCAGGGCCAACATCGGTCGGGGTCGGGGTCGGGGTCGGGGTCGGGGTCGCGGCTGCAACCCCCGGCCTTACGAGTGTCCAGGACACTACGTTCACGGGGCAATCTGCCTGACTGGAGGCGCGACAATGAGCCACTTTATCGGCAGCACACCGAGATTAAGCACGACATGGAATTCAGTCTGATTCCCGCTTGTATCTCTCCACCGTCGCAATTGGTAGTGACGGCATCGTCAGTGTAGTCGAGAGCAATGCCATGCAATGCTTATGGATAAGTCACAAGCCTCAGCGAGAAAACAATCGCCGTATGTCACTGAACTATCGGGATCGTGAGCTGCAATGTAAGCGGGGCGACGCCGTCCACAGATGACGCCAGGGCACAGGCTGCCAGCTGTGGTCGCGGCGACGCCGTCCGCGTCCCGGCACCAGGACCGGCGGCGGCCGCGTACCGTGGCGTTGCACTTGGAGCAGAAGGCCGTGGTCATGAGGCCCAGGCCGCCCTGGTCGAAGCACTCCTTGCACTCCCACTCGGCCAGCCGGCCGCACACGAAACACTGCCGCGGCGCTGAAACACGGCAGACGGCGGGCCGCTGAGCGCGGCGCGACGGACCGGCCGCCGCGCGGGGGGCAGGGGCACGACCCGACGACTGTGGCAGCGATCCGCCGACGGCTGCGGCGCACGCAGCAAAGGCGAAGACCCGGCTGGTGATGATTTTCAGAGAGATGGTTAAATATTAAGCGCAAGACCCAAACGCATTTAAGCGGTGAAATGCATCCCCCACGTGTCGGCAAACTTGGACAAGTATGAGCTCTACATTTTTCTAACCGCGAAGTTCGCCGCCAATGCTCCGGCAAACAAGACTAGCACCGTGACAATTCATACCTCACCATCCTCAAACTGCACGTGAAAACCTAGACTGCGGCTGAAGCCGTCCACGCCCTGGACGGGGCCTCGGCCGGCCGGCTACAAGCCGTACGTTCACTCACAGTTCTCTATGACGTCGGTCACGTCCAGCACCATGCTTGGCAAGATGCGCGAGTACATCTTGTAGTCCTTGCCGAAGCGCGGCATTTGGACGATCAGGCAGGAGGGGATCTGGTGGCCAGAGACAGACGCCACTGCGGGTCATGCACCGGCGGCGGCAGATACAACACCGGCCTCTACGCAGCTCTGCGGACGTCCGCACAGTACACTTCAGAGCAAACCGACATGCCTGGTTCACCACGCCGTGCAGAATGACTGCCTACTCGTATAGAAGCCGGCGGCAGGGAAGCCGCAGCGGAAAATCGATAATCCGTTTCACCAAGTCCGACCCCCCCCCCCCCCCCCCTCCATTTCCGAGCGGCGTCGACTCGAGTGACGCGCCTGCGGGCGCCGCTGCTGACCTCCTTCAGCTTGATGTCGCCGCTGATGAAGCTCTGGTCGAAGAGCTGCTGCACGCTGGGCAGGATGAGCCGGTCGTCGCGCTCCACGATCAGCTGGTACAGGTAGCTCTCCTGGCCGGACGAGTACTTGAGGAACGGCTCGGCGTGCAGCATCTGCGCCAGCAGCGACTGCAGGAACTCCTCCGGGTCTGCGGCGGAGCGGCGCCGGGTCAGGCCGGGGCGCTGCACCGCCGCGGGCGGCGGACCACCGCCGGCGCGGGTCTGGCTGGAGCATTCCTGCTCCACGCGCAGCCGAGCGAGATAGCATGGACACGCGCGGCCGCGCGTGATAGAATGGAAGCATACGGCCGATGATGACGACGGTTGAGGCTCAAGTGCGCGCCGGCGAACTCGCGGCCAAGCGCGAGCCAGCGGCGGCTTCGACTGGGCGATCGTGTCACGCGATGGTGACACAAACATTGGTGAGAAACAGCAACAATGGAGCACACCAACCAGTTCTGGGACGCAAAAGTCAAAGGCTTACCACACCAGCCACACAGGCTGGCTTTGACGTGCGCATGGCACCTGACAACGGCGATCAGCAAGCGCACCAACAGAACCTGAACGACAGCGGGACCATTCAACATCACACCCGAGCACTCGGCCCCTATAGTTGCCCCGGCAGAGCGCCCGCCCGTGTCCTCGGCTGTGTAGAACCGGGACACAACGCCCGGCGACACCGCCCTAGTCCTCGGCTGTCCAGAGCCGGGACACAGAGCCGGGTGGCGCCGCCCGCGTCCTCGGCTGTCCAGGGCAGGGACACAGCGCCGGGCGACGCCGCCCGTGTCCTCGGCTGTGTAGAACCGGGACACAGGGCCGGGCGACGCCGCCCGTGTCCTCGGCTGCATAGAGCCGGGCCACAGCGCCGGGCGACGCCGCCCGTGTCCTCGGCTGTATAGAGCAGGGACACAGCGCCCGGCGCCGCCACCCGTGTCCTCGGCTGTGTAGAGCAGGGACACACCGTCCGGCGGCGCCGCCCGTGTCCTCGGCCGTGTAGAGCAGGGACACAGCGCCGGGCGGCGCCGCCCGTGTCCTCGGCCGTGTAGAGCAGGGACACAGCGCCGGGCGGCGCCGCCCGTGTCCTCGGCCGTGTAGAGCAGGGACACACCGTCCGGCGGCGCCGCCCGTGTCCTCGGCCGTGTAGAGCAGGGACACAGCGCCGGGCGGCGCCGCCCGTGTCCTCGGCCGTGTAGAGCAGGGACACAGCGCCGGGCGACGCCGCCCGTGTCCTCGGCTGTCCAGAGCAGGGACACAGCGCTGGGCGGCGCCGCCCGTGTCCTCGGCCGTGTAGAGCAGGGACACAGCGCCGGGCGACGCCGCCCGTGTCCTCGGCTGTCCAGAGCAGGGACACGGCGCCGGGCGTCGCCAAGCCGCTCACCTTTCTCCTCGGAGGTGAGGCCGCGCACCGAGCTGAGCGTCTCCAGCATCTGCCGCAGCTTCATCACCCGATCGGCGCGCACGTACATGGCCGACCTGACGGACACACGGGTCGCACAGAGAGGTCAGACTCCGGCAGACGTCTGGCGCTGGGGAGGGTCGGGGAACGCGGCGCACCTCACGGAAGGGTCACACGCCGACACTGAGGAGGGTCGGGGAACGCGGAGGACCTCACGGAGGGGTCACACTCCGACACAGAGGGGCGACGGGGAGAAGGTGGGCGGCGCACCTCACGGAGGGGTCACACTCCGACACAGAGGGGCGACGGGGAGAAGGTGGACGGCGGACCCCACGGAGGGGTCACACTCCGACACTGAGGGCCGACGGGGAGAAGGTGGACGGCGGACCCCACGGAGGGGTCACACTCCGACACTGAGGGGCGACGGGGAGAAGGTGGGCGGCGGACCTCACGGAAGGGTCACACTCCGACACTGAGGGCCGACGGGGAGAAGGTGGGCGGCGCACCTCACGGAGGGGTCACACTCCGACACTGGGGGGGCGACGGGAGAGGTGGGCCGCGAACCTCTCGGATGCCATCACCACCGAGTGCCAGGCATCGGAGCCGAACAGCTGCAGGGGATCCGCGCAGCCACGCTGCTTCGGGCCGGTGGTCACGAACTGACAGCATCATGCATCACGTACCTAGGCAACCAAACCGAGCTTCAGATCACGCGAGTTATACTTGATTCTCAGTAAAAAAAAGAAACTTGCAAGCCTATGGAACTTGTGCTCCACAAGTCGTAGCTCGGAATCGATTTGCCACGCACATACAATTATCAGCAGCATCAAAGCGTAATAATATCACAGCCATCCAAAACTGGGCGAAGGACAGACCGAACGCGTCACGCCCATGTAATCAATCAGCCAATTTAACAGTCCCCAGGTGGAACAGGGCAACAAAACGAGGCCAACTGAATTCGAGCCGAGAGCAGCTGCACGTTCGCTCCACTTCCCGCCGGCGCCGTGCACAAGTATGCGTGACACGCGTGACAGCGTGCGCACGCGAGCGGCAGCATCCGCGGCTCTCACGCGACAGCTGCGCGCGTGACGGTACGCGCACAACTCGGCGGCGGCTCGCCGTCACCAGCCGCCAGACGGCGACCCGTCACAAAAACACGCCCGTGACGAGCGCAAAATGGTGCGTGGCCACGGGCCGCCGCCGCCACGGACCGCGCGTCATCTGGCGGCGGCAGCGACGCTTCATCTGGCGCCCCGCTCCGGCCGACTGGGTCAGCGGCGCTTCAGCTGGCGCCCCGCTCCGGCCGGTTGGGTCAGCGGCGCGCGCCGTCAGCCGCGGACGCCGTCCCGGCGGGCGGCGGCCGTCGGCGCCGGGGCGACCAGCGCGTGCGGCCGAGCAACGCACCTTAGCGGGTTGACGATCTCCTCCTTGAGCAGGCGCTGCACCTCGCTGTACTCGGGTATGTCGCCGGGCCGCTTCGGCCGGTGCAGCAGGCTGTCCAGCACGCTGCGAAGACCGGCAGCGCCGGCGCGTCACCGCTCGTGCCGTGGACAAGCGATGCGCGGCGAGCAACACAGCATTCCGCTGGCTTTACCGCATGCCGCGGCCTTTATCACATAAAACGTCTGCTTTACGGCGCCAAGTGTTAAATAATGTGGCAGGGCATTCGTTACAGCTCGGCGTGCATGGGGTCACCGTTCGCGACGTCCGCAGATCCATTACTCCTTTATTTGAAGGGCCTGTTGCAATCAGTGCTTTGGGGGTTTCGGAATTAAAGGGGATATGAACCACCCAAAAGTGTTCTGGGCGCAAAGATATCAAATGACCAAGGAGTTTCCGAGCTAAACGGCGTCTCTGGACGTACCTAGTTCCTAAATTATTTTTGGTTCACAGGGTAGGACTTAACGACTGATTGCGACTCGAAAATTATCGTACTATTGGTAGCCCGCATTTAGTTTTCTCAACACATCTGAAACTTACGGCGTGAAGGCGAACATGGAGAACAGGGTGGCGTCCAAGTAACACGAGTTCAGATGGCCCTGGATGCCTTTCAGCTTGCCGCAGAGCTTCTTTAGTTCCTCGGTAGATGTCACTGAGATCGGTGCTACATTGCCTGTTATCACAGGGCATTCCACACTCCCGAACGCTGAAATAAGCAATGCTTAATTAAAACACACAATGGCACATGCACGGAGCCGAATACAGTGTGGTCCTGGAACGTGCTACCGAAGAGCATCATCACATGCAGGGACGTGTAACCGTCTAGCAACAAGCCCGCATTGAAATACATCGAACGTAGGCCATTCAAGTCACGTACAGCACTGTCGCATACTTTGCGAGAGGCCTTGAAAAAATGTCAGCTTTAACTAACCAGATGCATTCTAATGCAAGCCTTGGGTTCTTGAGGAACGCATGATTCCATACGCCGCATTCCTGGCCTCTGTTCTGCCGCAGCATTAAAAGCATCGCATTTCACATGTCCACGAACCCATCTGACCCCGGTTACAACCTGACGCAAGGCACGTGTCAACAGCAGCGAGGCCAGCCTGTGACAATGCTGGGGAGGGGGGAGGGGGGCAGCCACCGTCGCGGACTGCAGCCAGGCCCAGGCCGGTCGGCCGGCGCCGCCCAAAGCCGACGCTTCACTAACACCGACTAGCCCCAGTGTTGGACGAGTTTTAGCCCGATGTCACCCCTCAGGCAACGCGGTACAGGCTGGCCGGTCACTGTGTTCGATATCGGCCCAGGCTGCCCGGGGTCTGCACGATGGCTTCATTGCTACCCAGGGAATGATGTCTCAAAAAAATCCGACTCGAGGGACATGAGCACCCATGCTGTACGTTTTGAGATTCCATCACAGGTACCATTCTTCGCTGCACCAGGTTCTGCTGCGTCGCCTTACGGTGTTTTAGAATGCAATACATCAAACGCTTCCGGAAAATCCCAAAATACGTCTTTGTAGTGCGGCCCTCCGTGTCCTGTAGACGTTTCCGATGTTGAGTGAACGCGGCAAGGTGATATTTATAGCGTGAAATATGCCCATGATCTGTTCGACGGGGGCTCCAAGAGGCAGCACTGAGCTGTGAGCTGATCACCGACACGCAAGCCACCGATCCAGCGATACGTTATCAGATACAGCTCCAATTAGCGCAGCCAGGCGAGCCGCACGCCCCGTCCGCATAACGGCCGCCTCCCCCCCCCCCCCTCCCCCCTCACCCTGCACGCATTGCACCGCAACAGAGCGACCCGCTCTGCTGCACCCCGGCTGCATCAGGCGGGATCAACCTCCTCCCCCGCATCGCGGCGCTGCGGTGATAACAATGGGTGGGGCGTTTGGAGGGCGAAAGGGCACAGCGCACCACCGCCCCACTCTGTTGGCCGCGCGTCCGCGACCCTGGCCGCCGTGCGGCCCTCGTCGCTGTGCCGGCGCCGCGGCCGCAGCCTCTCCGCCGTCGCCGGCGGCCGCTGCGGCGTGCCTCCGTACCGTTGGCGTCGGGCGCCTCCTGGCCGAGGTCGAGGAAGCGCCTGTCCCGACCGCAGTCGGCCAGCGGCACGAACAGCGCCTTGCCCGGCTGACAGCTGAAGTAGCGCACGCCGTTGAAGCAGCCGTCGCCGCCGCTCACCGTGTCGTCGTCCTCCTGCGGCGGGCGCGGGGTGCGTGACGAGGCGGCGGGGAGGGGAGAGGCGCGGGTCGAGGACACACACCCTGCACTGGCTGCGAAACTCCAGCTCCTCTGCGCCAAACGGCACGAGTGCGAACACTTGGGTTTCCTGCGGCTTCCTCCCGTAAAGAGCGCCCCGACCGTTGCCCCCTCCCCCCCCCCCCCGGGGGCTTGACCCCCTGATGACGATGGAGATTCAGGTTTAAAGCCACTTCAGCTGCTTGGTTTTACGGTGCCCGCAACTCACATATCACTGAGCAAAGGAGATAATAATTGCCAGATGTTAACGGAGTAGGTAATAGGGAACGTGCCACATAGCAAGGAAGATAATCCATACTACAACATAATAGTGCATATATAACACAAAACAGAGGACTTTACCGGCTTAGCCGCAAGACAAGCCCTCTTCGCGAACGAAAGAGTACATGACAAAGACACTGATGTCCACAAAGACTCATACGGCACGCCCAACGTTCAGCAAACCATTGGGCACAAGACGCGGGGCCGTGGGTGGCGCGGCGGCCGCGGCGGGCGCCGGCAGCGGGCCGTACCATCTCGACGCCAGCCACCTGAAGGCGCTTGGTGTCGCCCTTCACGCGTCCCACCCAGCGCACGACGCCGTACTGCGGCAGGCCCTGAATGTCGACCTCGACGGCCGAGCCCACAGACACCTCGGCGTCCGTCCAGGCCGGCTCGCCGTCTGCCGGACGGGTCGGAGGGAGGTCAGTGACGCGGCGGGTGAGGTGGCCGCCGCCGGCAGCCGGCCGGGAGGTCAGTGGCGCGGTGAGGCGGCGGGGTGAGGTGACCGCCGCCGGCTACCGGCCGGGAGGTCAGTGGCGCGGTGAGGCGGCGGGTGAGACGACCGCCGCCGGCTACCGGCCGGGAGGTCAGTGGCGCGGTGAGGCGGCGGGTGAGACGACCGCCACCGGCTACCGGCCGGGAGGTCAGTGGCGCGGTGAGGCGGCGGGTGAGACGACCGCCGCCGGCAGCCGGCCGGGAGGTCAGTGGCGCGGTGAGGCGGCGGGGTGAGACGACCGCCGCCGGCTACCGGCCGGGAGGTCAGTGGCGCGGTGAGGCGGCGGGGTGAGACGACCGCCGCCGGCAGCCATTTGGGACCGGTGGGTGAGATTACAAGTCGCCCGCAAACGCTGCCGTCGTCACGGACGTCATGTTTCCAATTACCCTGAGTTCTGAAAACATCGACGGCTGAACACGCCTACTTTTGGAGGTTTTGGGACAATGCCAATGTCATAATTGCAATCCTCATACACCACCAATGTGGACAGGCAAACATCAAAGCCTAACCACTATATACCTCACAGCAGAAGGCTTCGATGCTCTCCCGACCTGAACACCTCCTATCCCACCCCGACCTATCCCTCCCTCGCTCCCTCGCTCCCTCTCTCCCTCGCTCCCTCACCTCTGAGTCCGTCGACAGGCGATGCGTCCGGGCTGGGGCTGGCCAGCAGCTTGTCCTTGCGCCGGTGGCGGCGCCGGTCGCCGGCGGGCACTGTCTGCGCGTTGCTGAGGTCGGCCAGCGGCAGCAGTCGACGCGGCCGGCCGCCACTCTCGGCCGACGCCCGCTGCGGCTTCGACTGCCCGCCAGCGGTCACCGGTCAGCCGACAGCGGTCCACGGACCGGGGTCGGGGGGGGGGGGGGGTTCAGCGCGGGGACAGGCCGGGTCGAGGCGCACAAACATCGCCATCGACGAGAGGGAGACAGGGCGAGCCGGCGGTCTACGAACCAGTACGTGCCCTGAATCTAAAGCCATCCACGTGGGTCTTTGCTAACACAGCTGTTTACGAGACAAATACGACGGGGCGCCATGCATGACAGATGCATGACAGAGTGCAGTGCGCATGGCCGGTGGGTCGCAGCGCGCAACATACGGGGGCGGAGACGGCGGCGCGGCGTTGGAACCAGACATGTCGCGGCGACAGCCCGGCGCCGCATCAACAGCGCAGGGAACACGCATGAACGAGCAAGCCACGGAACCCTTTCCACCATGACGCATTGCCATCTTGCCAAGCCATCCCCGCAGTCCAATTAGCCGCCAGCGTCACAAGACACATCAGGTTTGGGTGGGTTTAAATCTTATTTAAATCAGTCGGTTCACTGAGGAAAAACGATCCATTTTCCCGGCGGCGGCTGGCTACCCTGACAAGTTTCCTGAGCCGACTGCGCCGACGGCGGTGCCGGGCAGATAGATCACGCGGCTGCGGGCGCCGGAGGAAGCCCGACATTTCCTCCGGCCTGGATCGGACCGGCGCCTGCCGCGCCGCCCCAGAAGCACAGCACAAGGGGATCGTGCCTAAAGCCCCGGCGGAAAAACCCGCTACCCGACGCTGCCAAACGAACGGACGGCACGTCACGTGCGGTCCTGCCGCCGGCACCAGCTGGCAGGCGGCCGCTCGCGCCCGGGCCGACTCAGAACCCCGCCCCGCCGGAGCGGCCTGCCGAGGCGCGCCCACGCACCTGCAGCTGAGAGTCGCGCTCGTCCGCCAGCCGGGCGAGGCTGGGCGGCGCGCTGCCCGCCACCAGCTGCTCGTACGCCATGCGGTGGAAGGGCGGCAGGTGGCGGAGGTCGTCGGTGAACTCGTGGCCGCGCACGGTCGCCGGCGCCAGCTCCTCCTCATCCGAGGTGTGCAGCTCCAGGTTGCGGCGCGGCGCGGCGGCCGGCGCCGCCCGGCCGCGCGAGCCCTCCACCAGCGCCGTCGCTGTCGACAGGGCGCCAGGTCACGTCACGTCACGCAGCTCGACGGTGGCCATCGCCGCGCGGTGATCGGCGGTGATCGTCTAGGCATGTCAGCGGCATGGTCAGTGGTGGCGCCTCGCTCCGCTGCGGACCCCAAAAGCAGCCCTGATCATCCGGTCACCCCGTCACTGCCTGCGAAGCACAGCAGTCGGGGGACTGAGCTGCGGCGCTGGAAACGGATCCCACCTCCGCACAGCGCCGCATCACGACCGCCAAGAGCGGCCGACTCAAGTTTGTAATCACGTGGGGAGGGAAACTATTAAAATCGATGGAACGCGTCCATATCATACAACTAGGCAAAAACCTGTCCCAGCCAAATAATCATACAGCTTTCTGTCATTCAAACAGAACGAAAACGATCACAGCCTTTCCCTGAATAAGCTCCATGCTATCTCCATATCCCCCGCTTCGCATCGAGCCCTCACTACGCTCTTCTCTTCGCCTGTACTGGCGCTGGATCGCACGTGCTACATCGGCGGTGTCGGCGCCACAGCCCGGCCACGCAACTCCCATACACGGCTTGACTTCCGGCCCTGCTCTTCCATCCGCCCGGCCGCCGTCCGGCCGCCGCCCGGCCGCCGCCGCCGGGCCGGCCGGCACACAGCAGAGGGCCGGGGCGGCGCACAGCAGAGGGCCGGGGCGGCGCGGCATCTGCCTCCAATGGCACCATTCGGCGAGCGGCGGCCGGCCGCGCCGCCGTCTAACTGTGGTCGCCATCAGTGCCGGCCGGCCGCGCGCCCCTGCTCGCCGCGCGGCCGGCCGCCGCATGACAAACAGCGGCACTCGCGGCCGAATTTGGCGCGGTGCGCCACCGCTCCGCTGCGACTACACCGGCCGTGCTTGGCTGCTGCAAGGCACACATCTGGTCGCTTTGCGAAGGGGTTTGTCTATTATTCGCCGCCTACGTACGACGCATGGCGTGTGGCTGTCACTGTTGACACTTAATACCGCGTCACTATCGCTGTTTGCAACGACCTCTTTCATGGACGGCGGCATGAATCATTTCCTCCAATGACGTGGGAATACGTCATCGCCAAGCACGGCTTGTTGCGTCAAACTGCCCACCACCCACGTCGTCTCAACGCGGCGATGCTTTTACCCGAGGCCGTTAACCAAACCCGTACGACAGACTTGTCTTTATCTTTGGCACGGGTACAAAACTACAACGTGACCGTCCGTGACAAAGCCTCCCACTCGTTCTCGGGCAGCGCACTCGTTTTAGTAAGACTGAAACCCATCGCAGCTGCCATTGCTGCCCGCAAGCCCAGCATTCTGACCGCACGTCTGTCGAGGCGACGCCTCAAATGTGACGTCGTGTAGTTCGGCGGCCGACCCACCGTGCCTTTGTCTAATGTGAGCCGGCTGCGTGCGCCGCTCGGGCCGTCATACTGGGAACACCGCGCAGCAGTCTGAGTCATGGCCTTACCCTAATGGGTTATGACTCACAATCCAAACAAGTTCAGAAACTCTCGCCTACCAACACACAGGTGCAGCGTGTCCTAATCGTTGATGGCGTGGAGGTAAAAACAACGTAAAAACGCCGAGGTTTTGTAGCTAGCGCACAAGTGTGCAGAGTACACGCGAAACACTGCGATGATTGTGGGTCCAGCAGCAGTTCGCCCAATCCTCCGGCAGGTTTAGAGGGGCACTGGACGCCGCAGCGGCATGCTGAGGGTCGACAGCGTGGCAGCGAGGTCCTGGGAAGATCCAGGCGGGGCACATCCCGCACTCCCCACCGGGGCTGTTACCGGCCCGGGTACCTCTCCCCCTCCCCCTCTCCCTCTCCCGACGAGCTGGCACGGGCTGGCCAGCGCGCCAGGCTCGGTTCGCGCCTGATCACTGTCGTCGAGGCGCCCTTTCAGCGCATGACCACTGTCGTTGAGGCGCCCCCCCCCCCCCCCCTCCCCTCCAGCGTCTGACCATTGTGGTCGAGGCGACCTCCGAACCGGGCCGTGCTTAGGCTGGATGTGGTCGGGACTGGGCCGGGCCTAGGCAGGATGTGGTCGGGACTGGAGCGGGCGGGGAGAGCCGAGCATTCGAGTTCGGTGGACTGAGCCGGGTCGGGCTGGGCCGGGCGCGGGCGTGGCAGCGTGCTCCTCTCACCAGGCACGCCGATCTCGGAGGAGGCGGCAGGGCCGCCCGGCGCCGGCGGCTCCAGGTCCTCGGCGCGCATCAGGCCGTTGATGGGCACGATGGAAGCGTGGTTCAGCTTGGCGGCGAACAGGCGGTGGCCGCGGTAGCAGCCGTTCCCGGAGCCAACCGGATTGTCCTGCGGCGGCGGGGCGGGTCAGGTCAGGTCAGGTCAAACCAGCAGTCCAGGTCAAATACGCCGCCGTAGCCCAGACGGGGATATTGCGACGCATTCCCGAACGGCCAGCACTAAGTTAGGCGCGGCGCTTACTGGATACGACCTATGGAAGATGTCATCACATTGCCGGTATCTGATGCGCGCGAGTGTTCCCATCCAGGCAGTGGAAGGTTACACGGAGGTCGAACTAGTCCGGACCAGAGCTCGCCGCCCACACACGCATGTGCAGCAGCGACACACACCCGAGCCGCACCAACACGCAAACGGCTGTGGGTGACACGCCAGACCAGGAGCACTGGAAGAGCCGCCAAGCTAGGGAGGGTTCATAACCATTTTTCGGCTATTGTTTTCGAGTCACCACTAAATGCAACCAACGTCGAACCTCGGGAGAGTTACGGGGTTGTCCCAACCCCAGCCCCGTCCCGCGCCCCTGCGCCAGACATACGACCTGCGCAACGGCCGCAATCAGAGCGTAGGGCCGGCCGGCGGTGCAACACCGGCCGCACCACAACCCTCGGCCGATAGCACCTCACCGCCACGAGACGGTGACGACAGAAAGCATCGCACTTCAAGTCGTGAGTCACGCCTGCGCCGCTGCAGCCGCCCGCTTCGTTGGGTCAGACCCGCGGCGGCTGTTAACCCCGTAGCCGACAACGGCGCCGATGTGTTACGGGTCGAGTCGTGACACCCTCGCGACGGCACGAAGCCGCCACCTCACAGCGTCACGGAATCTCAGCCCGCCCTCCCGGGACACCCTCCCGGCTCCCACATTTCGGTCGGTGACCAGGGGTGCGCCCAGTGAGCCGGCGTGCGGCGTGATGGCCGATCCCCGGCGCATTCGCACGAAACTGGCGCAGTGACGCCGCGCCTGCACCGCCACCGTCGCGCCCAGCTCGTCGCCTCCCCTGTCGGCCTAGCACGTACGCTCCAGCGCAGCGTCTCGTGTGACCCCCCTTCACGTGTGGTGGGGGGGGGGGGGCATCCATGTCTGTCGCGAACGGGTCGGCGAGCCCGAGAGCGCTGGCCGCCAACCAGCGGAGGCTGGTCTGCTTCAGAGCTCGGCGCCAGGGCGCGCGGCCGCTGCGGCCGGCGGGAGAGGATTCACACTCGCCACCAGGACCTGGTTCCTCATTGGCTTACGACTTACGCCCCGCCCATTGAGATGGTGTCGCGGACACACACCCATGAAGAATGCCTTTAATTCCAAAATGGGCGTGAGTACAATCAGCTGATTGGACTAGACGGAGACACGCGGTGCGCAAGAACGACGCACCCGAATGTTATTCCAATTAACAGTTATTGGCGACTTCTGTATTCTAAAGACATGACTCTTGATCGCATTAACCACATGCGACCGGTACCTGCCCATTTGCCGGACATTCGAGAACGTCAACAGCGCACGGGCCGTTACTAAGCGTCGCTATGTCAGCAGCGACAACTTTGAACTGGATCTGGGATCCCATGAGACTCAACGGTAGTTTAGTCGAACAGATGCTGCGTTCTACAAAGCCCATCTGTCAGCTGCTTACAGGATCCGAGCATCTCAGAAATTTCCCCAACAATTTATCAAATGGACCCGGGTTCTAGGAAAACTGGATTCCAGAGGAAAATGCCCAACAAAACGAGTAGCAATGTTTGCTTATGAAGGAAGGTTATGAAAGGAAAACTGGCACGGATTACGTTGAGAGCCATCAAGCAGTGCCCGTAACAGATTTTTCTTGTCGGGGAACAGCAAGACGAGGTTATTACCATCTGGTTACTCCCGTGTAGCCCAAATGAATTCTATACTTTGGAAGTTATAGGCCAGCCACAACGCTCCAAAGCCCGAGGATCCTGGACAATTTTGTGACAAAATTAAATTTGCATTTAAACTTTGGGACTTAAAAACGGTTAAAAGAACTCCACCGGTTGACGTGAGAGTGATGAAACTGAATGCTTCAACGAAATGGACTTCGCAAGATGCTATGATAAACCTTCGAATGAATCATGCACCCTGAACACCATTCCACAGAACAGATTTTGTATCTTAGATAGCTATTCAACAAAAACTGGCAGAGAACCCATCACCCGAAATGACTCTTCAGTGAAATAACATAATGAATACGCGATATCTCGAAACACATGGTATGGGCGCAACATGACGTCAGAAATCGGCGCGTCCTAAAACCCCAATCACCACCATGAAACACATGGTACCCCAGGACTCAAAGTTCGAATGGCGAGGCCCACTTCTGAAGCCCACGCACGTGTGTCTGCGCAACGCTGAAACGAGCGACGACTCCGGTGCGCGAGCCGGGATTCCCCAGCGCTCGCCACCGCACCGCGGCGGTGACCGCGGGGAGCGGGCCGGACCGGGTACTTACGAACTCGACGCCCACCATCCAGTCCCTGCCGCCGTCCTCGGCTGGCAGCTTGCCGATCCAGCCGACGACACCCGGCTCCGGTCCGACGTCACTGCGGCCGCGCATCAGGTCAGGTCAGGTCAGGTCAGGTCAGGTCAGGTCAGGTCAGGTCAGGTCAGTTGAGCTCAGGTGGGATAGCTTAAACACGGTCAGGTAGCTTCTGAGTGGTCAATTCCGATGTGATCAATTTAGGCTCACATCCACGTGAGCTATGTCACAATTAGGAGGGGCAAACCATGTCGGGTTCATGTAAACCAGGTCGAGTTTGATCTGGTCTGCGTAAGTCAGGTAAGCCTTGGTTGGATCAAGCATCGTCAGAGGGCTCCCCATAAGGCCACAACATGCTGCCAAGAAGTCGGTCAACAAAGAAAGAGCTGTGGATTACATCCCATAGCACGAAGGCGGTCACCACGACCGGAGGTCAGCTCAAGTCAAGTAAGGCACGGATTAATCGAGACCGCGTCAGATCAGAGTGGGTCAGGCCCAGGTCAGATCAGAGTGGGTCAGGCTCAGGTCAGATCAGAGTGGATCAGACTCACGTCAGATTGAAGCTACGACCAGGTCGGATCAGAGTGGGTCAGGTTCAGATCAAATCACAGTGGGTCACGGCCAGGTCAAATCAGAGTGGGTCAGGGCCAGGTCAGGTCAGGTTCACTGATGTCAGACCAGGTTGGCGGGACCCAGGGTACGGACAATGTCCGTACAAAACAAATGAACAAAGTAGAGATGTTTAAGCTAGGTCGTCCACGTTACATGACCTTATACCAAGCAATGCTGTCAAGTTCACAAGCACCATACCCAATCCGGTCGGCTCATTTCACGTGGGGCATCATGGGTCATGATGGATCATGGGTCAGCATGGGTCATCTCCAGCCAGGCGCCACACAGCTGTAGCCAGCGTCGCGTCCGCGCCAGTGTCACAATTACCGGTCGGCTCATTTCACGTGGGGCATCATGGGTCATGATGGATCATGGGTCAGCATGGGTCATCTCCAGCCAGGCGCCACACAGCTGTAGCCAGCGTCGCGTCCGCGCCAGTGTCACACCGGCACGGAAACGCCCCAGCGCAGACGGAGCGAGGCCTGGCCGCGGTCACCGGCGCCCAGCACGGACCGCTGTCGGGGCGGAGCGGTTCGGGGCGACCCGGACCACGCCACTCCCCACCGACCGCCGCGCAGCGCCGCTGCAGCGCCGGCACGCCCATGTGGGAGGACCCCAGCCCGAGCGCGGCTTCCGGTCCAGGCAGACATCCCCCGCAGGCTGAATTGATCATGAAAGCAATCCAACAGCGCCCACATGAAACGCTGTGTAGTCGGAATTCACAAGTTAGTGTGCCATCTGGGGACAAACTAGCTTTAGCCAAGTCCGCCATCCACCGTCAGTGGCAATTTGCTTACAAGGATTTTGCAAATACTCAGGGACAGACAACCGCGCGGCGCTTTCTCGTGCGTCATGGTCGTGGCGGTCAAAAGTGTTCAGCAGTCGTCTCCGTTTGTCGGGGTGAGATCACTTTACCGTCGACGCCCAATTACCTGCTTTTGTTCGCCAGAAAATCAGGACGAACGGTGAGCATTGCACCCGGATTTATGGAGAAATTCTCTATCGCGACGCAGAACAAGTCTGCAAGACAAAAATGCCCCAGTACGTATGAATCATGTATCCAATAAATACAAGCTTTATTAGCACACTAAGAGTCCACGGATCACGACGCGGACCATTCAACGCGCCCGCGAGCGCGTGACGGACCGGCCCCAGGAACGCCTATGACCCACTCGGCGGAGATTCTCCCCCCCCCCCCCGTCGGACGTCTCCGTGGCCGCGTGGGGGGTGGGGGTGGAAAGGGCGGGGAGGCGATAGCTCGCAGCTCACCTGATCCAGCACACTCTGTCGCCCACCCGCAGCGGCAGACTGGCCGCCACCTCCGGTGGCACGCGGTACACATCCCCCGCGGCCGGGACGGCCGACTCCACCGGCACCCGCGGCTCTGTGGCAGGTACGGCACGTCAGCGCAGGGGTACGGGGTCTCCAACAGACACGCACGCACGCACACACGCAGATATACGTATATATGTACACACACACACACACACACACACGCACACGCACACGCACACGCACACGCACACGCACACGCACACGCACACGCACACGCACACGCACACGCACACGCACACGCACACGCACACGCACACCACACACACACACACACACACACACACACACACACACACACACACACACACACATATATATATATATATATATATATATATATATATATATATATATATATATATATATATATATATATATATATATATATATATACAGACAAATATATATATATATATATATATATATATATATATATATATATATATATCGATAACATTACTCTGTGAGGTATTTACCTTTCCACAGTTGCCCATTCTTAGCCTTTCCTATTCATTATTTGTCCTATTTCCCCCTGTCATATTTTCCTTTCATTTAGCACGAAACAGGGATACCAACCTAGTCAGGCACATTTTTGTCCATGCCATTCAATGACTCTTGGCTTTCATTCCAACATGAAACTGCAGACCGGCGCGGCAAAAGTATGCATAGAGCCCCAACTGTTGCAGTGGGCCCCGGAGTCTTGCCAGCAGTGGTCTGGGCTGGTTTTCCCCGTCCCCGTGAAAAAGGATTTGCAAAAACAGGGCAAGCGGCGCAGTCTGCTGCAGCGCGAGACATGTCACGTCCTAAGCCCGCGAAGCCACAGACTAGGCTAGGTCACACTGGGCGGAAACGTCCCCGACAGAAACGCTCGCGGCGACGGGAGCGTCAGAAGCGTCAAGCCTGAAATCGACTTGACGGAAACGTCCACGGCGTAGGCGTTTACAAGGCCACAGTGTGCGCTCCGGCGGCGGCCACCATCTCGCGGATGTCATGCCAGGGCACGCAAATACCCCCGGGCAAATGAATGATCATTTCCCGGGGTGGATGTACCATGTCCGCATGTTTTCAATGTTTCACAGCATGCGGCCAATAAAAATTGGTCACATTCTGTCCACCACTAGCACTATTGGCAAGAAGTACCGAACATCTAACAGACGTAGCCACATCACCTTAACAGGTAATAACGGCCACACATTTGCCGCCTGTGCTGACCCAGACGCAACTCTTGCCAGGCATAATGACCCCTCCCCCCCCCCCCCCCTCCTACTTGCAAGCTCACACGGCGACAATGCAGCCGCCGCTCAGGCCCGGCTCGTGCCGGCGTGTCTGGGCTCGCTCCGCCGCATGACATCAATAGCGGCAGCGACGCCCCTCGTCACGCCGCGACCCGTGCGGCCGCGTGTCACCGGGTCGCGCGGCCGGGGCCGCCGGCCGGCCCCACGTGCAGTGGAACAGCCAGCCACGCTCAGCGGCCGCAGCGGTGCGCGGCCACGCGCCGACGCCGACCCTCGCGCTTGCTCTGCAGACGCTGCAGCAGCGGCGGCCCCGGGCAGCGGCGGGCGCCCCAGACACCAGGCTGCCGCTGCCTCCGGTGCCCTGGCGGGCGGGCAGCGTGGGGTCGTACGCATGGAGGCGTCCTTTGACAAGGATGTTGCGTGCTGAGCGTGCGGCAGAGCACCAAAACGACGTTCGAACGGAGCGCAGCTGCTGCAGGATGGAGGCCCGCGGAGCGGTGGCGTCGACTCCAGCTCCTCCGCAGCGTCCAACTGCGGCGCGCCAGGGCTCGAGGGGAACCCGCCCCTCACCTCTCCACGGTCCACGAACAACGGCTCAAGGGGAAGCGGCCCGTCACCTCTCCACGGTCCACGGATAAGGGCTCAAGGGGAAGCCGGCCCTCACCTCTCCACGGTCCACGGACAAGGGCTCAAGGGGAAGCCGGCCCTCACCTCTCCACAGTCCACGGACAAGGGCTCAAGGGGAAGCCGCCCGTCACCTCTCCACTGTCCATGGACAAGGGCTCAAGGGGAACCCGCCCCTCACCTCTCCACGGTCCACGGACAGCTCAAGGGGAAGCCGCCCGTCACATCTCCACGGTCCACGGACAACAGCTCGAGGGGAAGCCGCCCCGCACCTCTCCACGCCCCACGGAAATGGCACATCAGGCCCCGTAACGGTGCGGCATTGCGTTCGGAGCCGCCGCACGCTGCCGCACACCAGTCACGGGGCTAAACGGCTGCCGCGTCTGGACTGCGCAGCCGGGCGGCGTCACAGGCGACGCGCAGCTGACGCCGCTATCTCAGCTGTCCGACGGAGCCCGGCCGCCTGCTCGACCCGACACCTGAGCGCCGACGCCGGCGACGCAGCGACCGGTGTCGGCGGCGAGCTCAAGGGCACGCGCCAACTCCCTCGTGACTACACATCAGTGTCATCGGTGAGGTGTGTGCCGCGGGCGGCCACAACGCCGGCTTAGCGGCGAGCCCTCCGCTCCTTAAATCGATAGCCTTGTGCGAGCGGCGGAGCGGCCAGCCCGGTGGGGCCGGACCGTCCGTGAGCGGGCCCGACCCGGAGCTGCGCCCGCACTCCGGCGGCTCGAGCTACGTCCCGCCGGCCAGCTGCCAGGTCAGGTCGGTGAGTGGCGGGGTCACGACCGGTCAGTCACAGGGTCACGGCCGGCCGGTCACGGGTCACGGCCGGCCCCTCAGGGCGCTTCGCCGGGGCACCGGAGCCCAGACTTCGAACATGTAGCACGGCAGGCTTCCCCGGTCAGCCGGGAGTAGGCGTGACGTTAATCGCCGACCTTCCCCGTTGACCAGCAGCTTCGAACATGGAGCACGGCAGGCCTCCCCGGTCTGCCGGGAGTAGGCGTGACGCTAATCGTCGACCTTCCCCGTTGACCGGTAGCCTAAGTCATGCTTTCCAACGTGCGGAGGATAACATACGTCTATCGGCGCAGCGCCACGCGCGCTGCTGAGGCCACCTGATGGACGGAGATGACCATGAAGCACCGAACGAAGCTGCCACGCAAAACACAAACCCACCGTTGAAGCGATGCATTCCAAAGCGTGCTGTAGACGCCCGGGAAACTTTAACTTCCGGCAAAGCTTCGCTGGCACGGCGATCTTGCGGATAACGTCAGCACCAGACATTCTATGTCCATGCCTCAGCGGCGACAACGTGGCAACGATCTGGTCTAACAGACAAGGCGGGAAATGAACCCATTCGGCGCCAGCCAATTGCATGACAGCGACCCATCTCGTTTACACAGATCGGCTCTCCTCAATTCCCAGCCAACGGACGACAATCGAAAACGGACGACGGCAGAGACCCACACGTGACAAGCCCATGCAGTGGTTACGAACCCCCGGCCGACCACGGAGAAGGTGGGGGGGGGGGGGGAGGGGTGCGGCGGGCCGCGTGAGGCACTGACCGAGAGGCGGCGAGCGGGCGCGCCGCCGGTAGCACTGCAGCCGCACCACGCCGTCCCGGTTGGAGAACATGGCCTCGGGTCGCCGGCACCGGCCGGTGCGCCGCCGCCGCTCGACGCCACACGCTGACTGACGATCGGATGCGATCGGCGCACGTCAGCTGGCGCGGCGCGTGCCACGGGACCGCGCCCAGGCGGCGGCTGGGGCGCGGCGCGTGACTCAGGGCGCACCGGCGGCCCGACACGCGCGCGAGCCCGGCCGACCGCGCACCGCCGCCCCGCCGCCCCAGCTCTGAAACTATTCTGGACGCACGGCGGCGGCGGCGACGGCCGCGGCTCTCAAACCCGGCCGGCGGTCGGCGCGGCGCGACGGTGAGCGCGGTGCGGTTTGAGAGCTGCGCCGCCGGTGGCTTCGCGGCACTGGGTCAGTGTGCCGCCACCGGCGACCGCCAGATGGCAGATCGGTCACGGACAGCCGAGCCGCCGCAGAAGCCCCTCGGCTCGAACCGGACGGAATGGACGCACAGCCAGCGCCGACGCTTCAAATGGGACAGGCTGGACCCGGCTGTGTGCGATCAGACAGCGCGGGACTGGGAACGGGATAGGCTGGACCCAGCTGTGCGCGGTCAGAGAGCGCGGGACTGGGAACGGGATAGGCTGGACACGGCTGTGCGCGATCAGACAGCGCGGGACTGGAAACGGGATAGGCTGGACACGGCTGTGCACAATCAGACAGCGCAGGACTGGGAGCGGGATAGGCTGGACCCAGCTGTGCGCGGTCAGAGAGCGCGGGACTGGGAACGGGATAGGCTGGACCCAGCTGTGCGCGATCAGACAGCGCGGGACTGGGAACGGGACAGCCTGGACCCAGCTGTGCGCGATCAGAGAGCGCGGGACTGGGAACGGGATAGGCTGGACACGGCTGTGCACGATCAGACAGCGCGGGACTGGGAACGGGACAGCCTGGACCCAGATGTGCGCGATCAGAGAGCGTGGGACTGGGAACGGGATAGGCTGGACACGGCCGTGCGCGATCAGACAGCGCAGGACTGGGAACGGGACAGGCTGGACACGGCTGGGCGCGATCAGAGAGCGCGGGACTGGACAGTGTTGACGGCGGATTGACTGGGCTGGGACGCAGATCAGAGCCACGGGACTCTGACAGAGCGGCGGAGGACACAGCCGCGAAGGAGCGCACAAACGGGACAGACACGATGGGGAACGGACGGAGCGGTGGGTCACCTACCAGACACGACGGGAACGGATGGAGCGGTGGGTCACCTACCAGACAGACGGGAGTGGACGGAGCGGTGGGTCACCTAACAGGCCCGATGGGAGTGGACGGAGCAGTGAGTCGCCTAACAGACCAGCGGGGCGCGCGACCTTGCCGTCTGGCACCACCCCACTGGTGGACGCCACCCGTGGGGAGTGCTCCCAGCCCCACACAGTACCCGCTGAAGCCGCGCAAGCTGTGGTCGTGTCGGTCCATACGAAGTATGGACCGACAGCACTCTCATCACATCACTCTCATCACATCACTCACATCATCATCACTCTGCAAACGAAGGAGCCTGAGAACGTCACACTCGTTGCTCTGTGTAGGCAACAACCTGTTGCTAGCAGTGCCTTCGACTGAGGCGAATGAGCCTCCTCCCTCCCCCCCCCCCTCCCCTCCCCCGCTTCCCCACATTGCTGGCAACCAGTGACGAGACACAAGATATGTCAGTGTCTTTCACTGTGAAGACAACAGGTTTTTTACAAGAAAATTTTTCACCGTATTTCACCAAAAGGATACGGTAAGCAGAAGTGCAGAAAAAGCTTACGTCCTTCAGAACGAAAATAAAAACTGCACTTCTGCAGCATTCCAAGGGTTTTTATGCGGTACAAATATTTTAGTTTACTATCCAAGTGCATGATTGTTAAATGTCTCTCTTACAATGTTGTGGTTGGCTATGTGTACATGCACGTACTGCTTTTTACAATGACAGGAGTTGATAACGAAGCATATAACAACGAGCGATGAGAAACACTAGATTCCAGGAAGACAAGAAACAGGAAATATCTGTGAGCCCTGTCGTGCTGCCTTGAAATTACGTCTTATCCCAAGTGAAACCCTGAAAACCCCAAGCTTTGAAAACTCGATGCTGCAGATTTGCCCACAAAAGTACGTGGGCATAACGTTGCAGCAGTGTCCGCACCGTCCGTGGTTCTACCTCATTGGATTGTTGCAATAACAGAATAGTGCACTGGGGCACAGCAGCGGCTCGTCCAGGTGCTATGCGTACCCGACGTACTGAGCGTCTCCAGCATGATATTTAATGAGCAATATAAACGTGTTCGTCTACATGACCAACAACGCCGGACAGACTGAGCATCACGACCGCTATTGCACTGTCTCCGGGCCCCAACTTATGCATGTCTACAGTTGGGACAAGCGACCGGATGCGTCGGCATGTCTGCCTTGTCCGCCGCCGGCACGACCTTGCGCTGGAGGACGGCCTCGCGGTGTGGATCGCGACGTGTGATGGCAACGTGTAAGCCGGTATAATTTTGTTGCCGTTCAGGGTGACCAAATTTACCGGAATAATTTCGCTTCAACAGATCTGTGCTCCGGACGGATTTATACCCGTCCTCAACCATTTGTTACGGTCGAAACCTGACTGACACACATGCAAGATTCACGTCACGTACACTGATTGGAGCGCCATCTGTATGCTGCTACGCGCACCGTGGCGCCATCTATAGCCAAGGGGCAAGTTAGACCGTGCACGGCTAGCGCTACAACAATCCGTCAGCTGAATGCATTCCTTCCTGCGCAGCCAAGTGTTCACAGGGAGATCATCAAGATTTGGTGCAGGAATCGCGGGACAATGCAATTGCTGATTTTTCGTGTCCAAACCATGAAAACAATAACATCATAAAGCCCCAGAAGGGCAGTATAGGACGCGCGGGGGAGGGGTATCCTCGCCCCGATTGGGAGCGCCTCCTGGTGCAAATATGGGCAGGGCGTCGACAACGGAGGCCCATGGAAGGCTTATAATGGCCTCGGAGTAGGGGCATTGCTCAAACCTGTTAGAATCCACTGAGGATTACATGAGATACGAATGCTTAGATGAGGCACTAATCGTTGGCGTTCGGGTAGTGTAACGGTGCATTAAATGCATCAGCTCCTTTAACGCGGCATGGTTAGACGCATTGTTAGCTACGGGGTTTAAGGAAAGCGTCAACTACAATGGTAATTTCGCTTTCTACCGTCATGCTTCTATGCCATATACCGAGTATATGCCATTTGAGTTTTAGTGGTATGCTCCCACCAAAGTTATCCTGCATCACGCATATGAACGAAATAACAAGGGTGTAACAGGTGGCCTGCAGCCTTTTTCATTACAAACCAGTTTTCAGCATAGTGCATGACTACTTATCCTGTAGCGTGCCCAATTGCGGAGCTGGCACCAACACTTTCCTTCGCGAACAATTTCATGATCGTACGACCGAAAGGGATTGCTTCTCCGGTACTTGGACCAAAACAAGAGCAGGATTCACCTCTTACTGCTAAAAAATATGCCGGATGTCCGCATCCTACTTATTACTGCGCAGACGAGGTGTTGCTTGGCCCGGCGATTGCAACAAAACAAGAGCGTCTGTGAATGCAGTCACCATGGCGACAGGGTCCGCGGCCTGCCGGACCATAAACAACGCCTTCGCACGCGCCGTCCTGGCAGCTTGTCGCTTCCCGACACGGCCGTCGCCTAGACTGCCGACCGAGCCGTGTGCACATTCAAGGCCAGTGGAGGCACGGTCGCCGACTGCGCCGCATCGCACCAGTTGCATCATTCTCGGACGTCAGCTGCAGATTAGAGCTCGCAACAGAATGAGGAAGCCCTGCGGTCCGGCGTGCATACCTCGCGCCCGACATATATCACCCAGCCGCGAGCCACTTGCATCGAGCGCTTGAGTGCGATCAGGGTGTGATTTAAGCGCCACAAATACCGATAAATCCACCATTCATCATTGCCTCCACCACATCCTGCTATGACGTTACGCTGCGGTGCGCGGTCATGTGTTATTTGTCAGCATTGCGATGGTCGACGGCCGCAAGGAAATCGATTACATCCGGGACGCTTTTTGGGAATGGCACACCCGTAGAATGTAGATAAGACAGTAGTAATAGCCTTAGTCCTCGGAGAAAAACCAGGAGAATCGGGATGTAGATGCGGTGATATTTCGGCGTCATGCCTTTATCGAAACGAATAGCACAAATGAATTCAAAAGTGGCTGCCGATGATCCTACTTTATTTTTCAGCTTCTTGTGGTTTTGTTTTTTAACAGCGAGCCACAGGTTTTACAGGGCAAGAACGTTCAGGCGATCATGCAAAGGGTAATTGCCAGTCATCACTACGACACAGTGCATATCTAACTCAGAATTAGAATACGCGAAAAATACGCGTACATGCAAATGAATTCAATTAAACGGGCATTATAACATAATGCTTTATTTAAATATGCAAGCGAGTTGAAATGAACGGGTATCCCACATCATGCATCAATTATACATGCAAACGAGTTCAATTAACCAGGCATCGCGCATCACGCGTCAGACATCACTTGTACACATTATTTAATGTTTATCATATAAGCTAGGACACACTGCACAACAAGGCATCACGTTCGCATAATCGGTCATGATGAGCCCTGTACATCAAGATTTGGTCGCCAGCTTTATAGAAGAAAAGATTCCCTTATTTTCCTGTCTGGGTGGTCCTGTGCTCTGTGCTCTGACATTGAGCTCAAAAAGGGGCATAGGATCCATACCTCCCTGGATTTCAGCCTGAGTGTGTTTTGTCAAAAAATTATCGCCGAAAGGCGTATTCTCTGTTTTGTTTTAGCGTCTCGCAGGTGCTCATTATATCTTAAACGAATAGAGCGCATGCCCGCCCCCCGTTATAGACCACATCCCTTCCTTGTTTTTCACACAGTTTACACTCAATTTCGTAAACCACGTTTTCTGCATGCAAATCCTTTGAAACCCCGACTTGCCAGTACGTATAGCTTGGAAGAACGATAGTAAGCTAAGATAATAAGTCTCTGGTGATATCTCCCATCTCGCAGCCCAAGCGCCCGGGTGGCTATAGACGTT